GCTGGACAAGCGGGAGCTCAATATTCTGACGCTGATTACCGCGCACGTGCAGGAGCCGGCCACCTGCGAACTGCTGCTGGAACTCGTCCTGCCAATATTCACGAAGCAGGCGGCATCCGCTGGTCCCGAGACCGTCGTCCAGCTGATCACCACGCTCTCCAATCTCAGCCAGCGTGTACCCCGACCTCAGGACTATGTGCGCCAACTAGCGCCGCTTTTTGAGCAGGTGCACGTCCTGCCCGCCAGGAAGCTGCTCTGTGACCTTCTGGCAGACATGGCTAAGCGGCTACACAAGGAAGCCAAGCAGAACCCAGAGCTCTCCGCCACTGCGGCGTCTCTGCGGGAGTGGGCGAGGATTGTGCTGCTGCTGAATGCGTGGGACAAGCGCTGGCTGGAGCAGCCCGACTACGATAAGCGGCTGGAGGGGCTGTCGGAGCTGAAGCAGCTGGTGGAGCATAAGGACAAAAGGATCGATCTGCAGCTGGGAGTGCTGGTTGTCTACAACTGCTTCTACATGCTGCGCCACGTCTCGGATCTGGGCATTAGGGTCAACATTGGCGAGCTGCTGAAGGCCCTGCTCCCGCTGCTGACTCTCCAGCTGGAGGCGAAGGAGGAGGCACAGTTTTGGCTGGAGGACACATTGCTGCCACTGCTGCAGCGCTCTCTGAAGGACGAGAAGCACGAGCATGCGCGAAGCGAAGCCATCGGCTTGCTGGGCGAACTCGCCCGCCATTGTCCCGCAGCTCACGAGATCTTCCGCGATCTGTCTCCTCTGGCGGATAAGCACGACCTGGAGGTTGACTTCTTCGAGAACATGCTGCATTTGCAGACCCAGCGTCATGGTCGAGCCCTGCAGCGACTCGTCAACATCTCCGGCGGCAGCTGGCGGCAGGCGCCGCCTTGTGCCCGCACGCTAACGCAGTTCCTCCTGCCGCTGGCCACACGATACCTTCTCAGCGAGCGGCACACGGGCAAGCACACTCTGGTGGACGCCGCCATCGAGGCGGTGGGCGTGATGAGCGAGCTGCTGCCCTGGACGCAGTATCATGCCGTGCTTCGCTACTACCTGCAGAAGCTTCGATTCGCCCACGCCCAGCAGAAGCAGTGCGTCCGTTTGGTGGTCCGTATTCTGGATGCCTTCCACTTCGATTTGACGCAGGCAGAGGCTGACCCGGCCACGCTCGTCCGGCTCAAGCAGAAGCTGACTGAAGCCGCGGAGGAGAAGAAGCCACAAGCACAGCCGGAGGAAGTGGAGGGAGAAGAGAAGCCACCGAAAGAGGAACTGGAAGAGCAGGACTTCATTGATTTCGAGGGGGAGGAGGCGGCCGAGCCAGTGGAGGCAGTGTTGGCTCATCAGCGTACCCAACTCTTGGCCCCCAATGCGGCCAAGCGCGTCATGTCAACCATCACCACCGTGCTCCTGCCCACCCTCAACCGGTCCATCACTGAGAAGACCAACTACGACGCCAAGCACAAGGTGAACCGCCGGCGGCTGAGCTACGAGCGCGAGGAGGAGGAGATTCAGCGCGTGCCCATTGCCTTGGCCATGGTGAAGTTGCTCCAGAAGCTGCCCGTCGAACTGCTGGAAAACAGCCTCCCAGGTGAGTAGATTCCGGCAAAGTATCTCCCGGCATATACTGACTACCACTCTGACCCCTTTCCATAGGAATCTTTATGAAGGTCTGCACCTTCCTACGCTCCCCCCTGAAATCCGTGCGGATGCTGACCCGCGACATTCTCAAGAAGATTATGATCACGCTCGGCGGCAGCTACGTGGGCATGCTACTGGAGCAACTGCAGTCGCTGCTCACGCGCGGCTTTCAGGTGCACGTCCTGTCCGTAACGCTGCACGGAGTTCTGGACGCACTCCGAGGCGAGCTGAAGCCAGAGCACATTGAGAGCTGCCTACATAACCTGCTTGAGGTGGCCCTGAACGACATATTCGGAGATGTGAGCGCCGAGAAAGAGGTAGAGAAGATTGTGGCCCACACGCCCGAGGCCAAGCCCAGCGCCAAGAGCTACTTGACCCTTCACATCGCCGCCAAGCACATCCGCGACAACTGTTTGCTGGACCTGCTGCTGCCCTTCAAGGAGCATCTGCTCAGGTCGCACTCCCGCAAGGTTACCCAGAAGATACAAGAGTGCTTTGCCAAGATTGTGGCCGGCCTGGTGGACAACACGCACATCGCCCGGGAGAGTCTGTTGATCTTCATCTACGGCACCATGTCGGAGAGCATCAGCGACCTGCTGCCGGGCACCCAGAAGCGCCAGCTGACCGCCAAGGAGCAGGCTCTGATCAAACGCGCTCGTCCCGACTGCCTCATCCTCCAGCCGGCGCCAGGGCGACGCAGTGTGGCCGTTGGCAACAAGCTGGTCAAGTCCAATGCCCAGGCCAATGCTCACATACTGGTGGAGTTTGGACTGGAGCTGCTGCACTTCGTGCTCAAGCGAAAGAAGCTGTCAGAGCTCGACTACCAGCCCTTTCTGCACCCCATGCTGCCTCTGCTGCGCGACGCGCTGAGCAGCCACCACGTCAGGACCACCACCTACGCCTTGAAGTGTTACACGGCCATTTGGCTTGGGGAGTACGAGCTGTCCGAGCTCGACGCCGAGCAGCTGCAGCCAGTGGTGGCACGAATGTTTGAGATCCTGAAGAACTTCTCCAGCTTTGGGGCTACGCGGCAGGAAGAAAACGCCCAGCTGGTCCGCGGCAGCTTCAAGGCAGTCGTGGCGCTGCTCCGCAAATGCCAGGACTACCAGCTAAGCGTTGAGCAAATCGAGCAGCTGCTGCTTCAGATAGAACAGGAGCTGCAGGAGGGCGAGTGCAGCAGCCAGACCATGTGCTTCACTCTGCTCAGGGCTCTGGTGGGCCGCAAGGTGGACACTCGCTCGCTGCACGATCTGATGAAGCGTCTCGGCGATCTGTCCATCATATCGCAGTCGGACTACGTGCGGGACGAGGCCCGCGGCATCCTGCTCACCTACATCATGGAGTACCCGCTGCAGAAGCGCGTGGATCAGCTAGTCAAGTTCATGTCCGTCCAGTTGTGCTACACCCAGATCGCTGGCCGACAGTCGGCCATCCAGTTCATGCACTCCATCATCAACAAGTTTCCCCTCCTGCTGCTCGCCAAGCAATCCGAGTTTCTGTTCCTCTCGCTGGGCACGCGATTGGTCAACGATGAGGATCCTTCGTGTCGTCGCAGTGTGGCCGCTGCTCTGGAGGCGCTGATTGGGCGCCTAACCAAGCTGGAGCGCCAGCCTCTGCTGGATCTCACATTGCTGTTCTTCACGTCGCCGCAGTCCAGCCAGAAGCCGGGTGTCAGGGAAATGGCGGCCGCGCTCCTCTCCAGGTTTGTGCAGGCAGAGCGGGCTGGATTCGCGGAGAGACTGCCGCAGGTGCTGCCCACGTTGGTGAATGTTCTGACGCTGGGCGATGCGGAAGCGTCCGGCAGATATGTGCGTGCTCCGGGAAATCTGGCAGCGGAGGTGGAAGAGGAACAATTAGAAAAGAAAAAGAGGCGAAAGGTAAGATAGTTCTCTTTGATTTGTACAGGATACTATACGGATTTCTATACATATTTCAGCATTCTCAATCTAATCCCGATGAGGACCTGCTTCTGGCCGGCTTAGACACTGAGTCGCGACTGGAGCACCAGCAGCGCAGCGCAGACCATCAGATCATCCAGTTGCAGTATTGCCTGCTCAAGATCATGGAGCATTGCGGCGACACGATGTTGGCTGACAAGGAGATTTCCGATACCGTAGATCAACTGGCCTACGGCTGCCAGCGGCTCTTGGGGCACGAACACAACTGGGTGCGCTGCAATGCGGCCAAGCTGCTGACACACCTCTTGGCGCACTACGACTACGTCTACGTGGGCCAACAGCTGGTGGGCGTCAAGCGGGAGGATGGCGAGGCGAAGCCGCTGGACTTTATTTACGCCCAACCTGCCCAGGATATCAAGTCCTTGGTGCTGGACCTTTGTGCCCAGGTCACGCCTGGCGAGACGGCACAGGAAATGATTGACGAACTGTCCAAGATCTTTCTGTACGTGGGGCACATGCTAAGGGATGTCCCCTTCAGTCTCAAGCAGGAGAAGGAAACGGAAGAGGAGACGGAGGAGCGAGAACGGGGGCCGGCTAACAAAATCAACCTCAATTGGCTGGTGCGAAACATACGCTTTTTGGTGAACAAGGAAGTGACCAAGGCACCGCACGACACCAGCACAGTACGTACACCGTAATATACCCTTTGTCAAACCTATTGATCTTAAGTATACCCTTTACTTGGTACAGCGCACTGCCATGTTCACGCTCATTGAGGCCCTCAGCACGTTGCTCAGTGTGGAGGCGGTTACCCGACTGGCTCCCGCCCTTCTCCAAACATTGGTGCGTGAAATGTCAGAGGAGGATCAGAACGTCGATGCGGAACTTCGTCAGCTAGCCCTGCGTGTTGGCAGTCGGCTGAGGAAGCGAATAGGAGCGGATATCTACGACAAACTTCGCAATGCGGTGCAAACCAAGCTGATGGTGCGACGGGCTGAACGCCGCAAGGCCGTTGCCCAGGAGAAAGTCCATGATCCAGAGCGAGCGGCCAAGCGTAAGGCGGGAGTGCAGGAGCGCAAGAAGGCTGCGAAGCGTCTGAAGGCAGCGGTGATTCGTGGCAAGGCGCCAGACACCAAGCAGAAGCTGAAAAAGCGCAAAAGGAAAGCTGAAATGGACGGATTTTAATTAGTTAGTCGGCTGTTGCGTAATTTAAGTATTTCTAAGTAGAAAGGAAATAAATCAAAATAAACAATTAGTGCAGTTTAAAAAGAAAGTGCAAACCAAATCCCAAGATTGGGCTGTGACCAAGTTTGTTTTTCTTTTGGCAGCAATTCGAACTTTGGCGCCGTTCACTCAGTTTCGTGCTATCGAGTACTTTTATCGATACAGCGCAGGCCACTATCGATACGCCCACGGCTCGCGCCATGTGTTGTGCAATTCTATTTGTTGTTATTGTTTTTAAGTTAACTTAAATTTTTTAGATGCAGCAGCTCCGGCACTGCGTGATCCGTGGCTTGGCTCGGAGTCGCCACCAATCGAGGCACACACACAATGCCAGCACCGATATGTACGATGTGGTTGTCATTGGCGGAGGACATGCCGGCACAGAGGCCTCTGCAGCGGCGGCACGGATGGGTGCCCGCACGTTGCTGCTGACACACAAGCTTGAGACCATTGGCGAGATGTCCTGCAATCCTTCGTTCGGGGGCATTGGAAAGGGCCACTTGATGCGAGAGGTGGATGCTCTGGACGGAGTCTGTGGGCGCTGCTGCGATGTGTCTGGAGTGCACTACAAAGTTCTGAACAAGCGACGCGGGCCGGCGGTGTGGGGGCCGCGGGCGCAGATCGATCGGCAGCTATACAAGAAAGCTGTCCAGAAGGAACTTCATAGTACGCAAAACCTGGAGATCAGAGCGGCGGCTGTGGACAATATCCTCATAGAAGATGAGCAACATCAGCACAGACGCTGTACTGGTGTTTTACTGGCCAATGGGGAAGTGGTTCGCAGTCGTTCGGTTGTGCTCACCACCGGAACTTTCTTAAGGGCACACATCAACATTGGACTGGAGGTGAGACCGGCTGGACGCATGGGAGATGCTCCAGCAAAGGCTTTAGGCGAGGCCATAGACAGACTGGGCTTCCGAATGGGACGCCTGAAGACAGGAACGCCGCCCAGGATAGCTAAGAGCAGCGTGGATTTCTCCCAACTAGAGAGACACGAAGGAGATGATCCCCCGACGCCATTTTCATTTCTCAATAGCCATGTGTGGCTACCAGCCAAGGAGCAATTGCCGTGCCATCTCACCTACACGACACCGCTGGTCAATGACATCGTGCGGAATAATCTCCACGTTAATCGCCATGTTACCGAGGAGATAACAGGCCCTCGCTATTGTCCCTCAATAGAGTCGAAGATTCTACGATTTGGCGCAAGAGTTCATCAAGTATGGCTAGAGCCAGAGGGCCTGGACAGCCCCTTGGTTTATCCACAAGGAATTTCATGTACCTTGCCCCATGAGCAGCAAGTGGAGCTGGTACACGCCATCAAGGGTCTGGAGCATGCCGAAGTGGTGCAACCCGGGTACGGTGTGGAGTACGATTTCATAGATCCCCGTGAGCTGTTCCCCACGCTAGAGACAAAGCGTATGCCTGGCCTCTTCTTTGCGGGGCAGATAAATGGAACCACAGGCTACGAGGAGGCTGCTGCCCAGGGAATTGTGGCTGGTGCCAATGCAGCGGGCAAAACTCGCCACGCGGACGGCAGGCAGCTGACAATTAGTCGAACTGAAGGCTACATCGGTGTACTAGTAGACGACCTTACTTCTTTGGGCACCAATGAGCCCTACCGCATGTTCACTAGTCGGGCAGAGTTCCGATTGTCCCTTCGGCCAGACAACGCCGACATGCGGCTTACCAATAAGGGCTATGAATATGGTCTGGTCTCCGAGCATCGCTTTCGGCACTTTAAGCAAGCGGAAGAAAGACTACAGTCGGGCATGGAGGCCTTGAGGGGATTGCGGAAACACAGCAATTACTGGCGCCAGTCTCTGGACCTACCCACGTCCAAAGCCTCTGTGGAAAAGACCGCCTTTGACATGCTTGCCATACCAGCGGACAACATCACGGTGGATAAGCTGATCAATCTATTCCCCACGGAACTGAGTTGGCTGCGCGACGACAACAACCTGGCCGAGAGGCTGAAGATAGAGGCCCTGTACTCGTTCTTTGTTGAGGAACAACAACGAGACGTGGAGGATGTACGACGGGAAGAGCGTCTGGCCATTCCTGCTGACATTGATTACTTCTCCAAGGTGCTGAGCCTCTCGAACGAGGAACGACAGAAACTGAGCCTCATTCAGCCACAGACCATCGCTGCTGCCAGTCGAATCCAAGGCGTCACCCCCTCTACAATAGTGAGGATAATGAAGTACGTCAAAAAGGCGGACGTGGCCAAGGCATAGCACAGTAGAGGCTAATAGTTTATAGTTAGTTACATATGTGTTAATAAACTTACAATTTGTAAGTTTGGGTGATGTTGATGTTTGGGAGCCAGTCGATTGTCACTGCCGATAAAGAAAATACTTGTCACGGCCATATCGGCCGCTTTATAGACAAAAGATAGTATTTTATTTATTGACACGCTTACTCTTCAGGGCGCTATAACTCTGGCAAATAGGACCAGATCGGCGAAGCACTCAGGATCGTGATCCATACTGTCGATCGGTATCGAAATCTCGATTACGAAAATGAGGTCAACTTTTGCCAAATTTCATGTTTTATCAAAAAGTTGAAAATCTGTAGAACCAATTTCACAAAAGAATGGTTGTTTTTACTTATTTTTTCACCAAAATAGATGAAATTAGACCCGACTCGCTACCTGATCGTTCTTTTTTCCCCCCAAGATGGTTTTAACATTCTTTATGAGAAAAAATTCATGTACTAAAAACATTTGCATGCGAATGTTTTCGCAGCCTGCCTGTTCCGCCCTTACCTAAATGGAAATGAGAACTTAGTGGAGATCTTAGTGGAAAATTAAGCGTGCCAGATGTACTTCTTGGAAGTAGCAAAGTCCGACTGGGTAAACAAAATTATCAGTCTCAGCCGAGGCTCAGCGAACGATGAATAATTAAATTTTTTCATATAGTCCTCGAAGACGGTAATTCTTATTAAATTTTTTTTTTGCAAAATCTGATAACAAGTATTTTAATCACAACCCTCTGTAGGACAGTTATACTACCAAATTGCATAATAATTGATCAAACTTCCCAAGAGCTTGAGCCTCCTCCATGTGAATATATGAACAGATTATGAATTTCCAGGGTAACTGCTTGCCGTTCCGCTTTGTTCAGATCTCTCAGATTGTGCACTAGTTTTTATACCCGATACTCAAAATGAGTATTGGGGTATATTAGATTTGTGGTAAAAGTGGATGTGTGTAACGTCCAGAAGGAATCGTTTCCGACCCTATAAAGTATATATATTCTTGATCAGCATCAATAGCCGAGTCGATTGAGCCCTGTCTGTCTGTCCGTCTGTCCGTCCGTCCGTCTGTCCGTCTTTCTATCCCCTTTAGCGCCTAATGCTCAAAGACTATAAGAGCTAGAGCAACGATGTTTTGGATCCAGACTTCTGTGATATGTCACTGCTCCAAAAATATTTCAAAACTTTGCCCCGCCCACTTCCGCCCCCACAAAGGGCGAAAATCTGTGGCATCCACAATTTCGACGATACGAGAAAACTAAAAACGCAGAATCGTAGAAGATGACTATATCTTCTAGAGTGCAAAATCTGAACCAGATCGTATAATTATTACAGCCAGAATCACGAAAACAATTTCACTCTTTCTCGCTCTGTCTCACTCTAACACACAGGTTTCATGGTCGGTTTTGCCAATTGCAAAATATGAGTTCAAGGATCTCAGAACCTATAAAAGCCAGAGCAACCAAATTTGGTATCCACACTCCTGTGATATCGGACCTTGACCGTTTCCTGTCCAAATTTCGCCACACCCCCTTCCGCCCCCGCAAAGGACGAAAATCTGAGGCAACCACAAATCTCAGAGACTATTAAGGCTAGAGTAACCAAATTTGGTGAACACACTCCTTTAAGATGTCACTATAAAACGTATATCTCAGAATTTCGCCCCACCCCCATCCGCCCCCACAAAGGACGAAAATCTGTTGCATCCACAATATTGCAGATTTGAGAAAACTAAAAACGCAGAATCATAGATAATGACCATATCTATTAGATTGCTGAATCTGGATCAGATCAGATCATTTTTATAGCCAAAAGGAACAAATCAATTTGCAGTGGCTACGCAGCGCCCGACGTCACGCTCAGACTGATTTTCTGTCTCTCTCGCACGCACTCTTTGTCGTGTCGTTAAATATTAGCGGCGTCTGCCGGAGGAGAGCCATACTGACTTAGTATCGGGTATAACCGTAGAGTTGCGGTGTCCGCAGCAACTCACAACGTTCCCCCTCGTTACTTTTAGTACCCGGTCACACACACACCTCTCTATCCATGTCTCTATCAAATGTGTGATAACACATTTATTTCAATGAGCTGATAGTGCCCGCAGAGTCGGGCACCCGTGCACCCACGCAACCGTTATTCAGTAGTCACCTGTGTGTTCCCCAGTTAAAGTCATGACGTTTCCCTAGAAAAAATGGCTCGATTTTCCCACTGGATGCGGCCCAGATTAACTTATGTTCCGGTTCTGGTACTTTTCGTCTATCTATTCCTTATCTTTGGCTACAGAAATGTGCAGGTGAGTGAATGAAATGAACTGCACCGAAGGGGCACTCAATTATTACGACCGAAAGAACATCTCAACATGGGACCCATTTACGTGTTTAATGGTTGGAATAATTAATATTTCTCTTTGAAATGAAAATCAAGAGAAATTTGTTGCTTTCGCGTGGAAATTAAAGGTACAATCGTGCACAGTGGGTTGAGTGGTGAGTTGGTGGGCTGTGTTTCGTTGTGAAGTACCGTTCAATCAGAGAAACCATACAAAAAAACAAGATAATTTAATAATGTTGCATGTATGTACCATACATATGAATATGTGTACATATGTATGTTATATGTATCTTTGAGATATCATGTTATCTATTAGAAGTACCCAAGCAATTGGGTACTGATCTTATCGGGTGTGGTATTCGACAACGTAATCTGACATCTAAATCTGTATTCGAGGTGCATAGATTAAACAGAGGATTAACCCTAAGAGGAGTGTGTTCCAATTTTCGGGTACTACTCGGTTGTTATCTATGGCGTTGCCCCACTATGGGATATGAATAAATAGTATCTCTTCAGAATCAAGTGGTCATGTGGTCATCGCCTTCGCTCACTTTCGATTCCCATTCCAAAGACAAATGTATTTAATGTGTAAATCATCCACACACACATACATATGTATAGAACTGTATAGGTATGTAGCTATGTACATATGTATAATTAAAATGTTTTCATTTTCCATAATAAAAGTGGAAGACGTTTTCATTTTCTTAAAAATAGCCGGGAAAGGCGGCGCTGACTCACACAGAGAGGACAGGAGAGGAGAGGAGAGGCAGAGTGTCCCATGGACACTCCAATCCAATCGAGAGACAAAAACACACACACAAAATTTATTAAGTCCCGTCTCCCTCCACCCCCCGTCATGGCGCATGGAGTACCCTTACAAGGCTCCGTCCTCCCCCGCCCCCACCAATTCCACTAGTTGGAGCCCGGCCGCAACGCCAATGTCGCTGTCGATGTGTCTCAGCTGCTTCTCTGCTGCAGCGCTGCTGCCTCTGCCTCTGCCTCTGCCTCTGTGGCTCTGATGACAGCGTTCATGGCGGACGGAGGCGCCAGTTTGATGCGAGGCGTGCGTTGATTAACTTGTTGCATGCGCGTCCTGGAGCAAAGGGAGCCAGGCCAGCCACCACCACCCTTTCAGCACCTACCACCCCCTTTCCTTCCCCATTCGACAGAGTGCGCGTCTGTGTGTGTGTGTGTGTGTGCGTGCGTGTGGTTGTCGTAATAATTTGCGTACAGTGGGCGCCAAACGAACTTGTGTTGCGGTGCGGTCAGTGGCAGCGCAAATGTGGCCGAGGACAGGCAGGCCGATGATGACACTGGAGGGACGCTGACGCCTCCGCGCCCCACCGAGTATCTGGTCTACTGGTCTACTAATCGATGGCTGCCCATCAACCGCCAAAGCGCTAAGCAAATAAGCAACAGGAGCCGCGCTCATCGACTGTCTGTGCCACAAGCGGCGCCGAACAAAGTCAGCGTTGGCGTTGGCGTCGGCGTCGGCATCGCTGTCAACGCATCGGCCAACGGCACTCACTGCTAACGGTAGAAATAAATAAACAGTTTTAGTTGCTGGCGGTGATTCCTGGGGAGAGCATAGCACGCGGCTAGTCGCGCCACAAGTGCCGCCTGTCACCTGCTGCCCCTCCAGCCAAGGCCACGCCATGCTGGCGGCACAAGAGAACCGATTTCAGTACGTGTACTTCACGCTGTCCGGCCTGGTGGCCAGCGCCATGCTCGTCCTGGTCTACATCTCCATGCGCACGAGCCTTGTGAGTGGGTGCCCGCTCATCCTTCCACAGCAGCTTACCTGACGGCCAGTTGGTTTTCCTCTCTCTCTCTCTCTCTCTCTTCATATCCTGCTTGCAGAATGAGCGCCTGCGTGTCGACCTGGAGCACCTGCAGCGCCAGCTGATCCTGGAGAAGCCCAATCCGCACTGGAACTACACCAACAGCTGGCGCAGGATCGGCAACGCCTCACTGAGGCACGAGATCTATTCGGCCTACTTCGATGCCCGAACAGAGATCATAGGTGAGGGTCACCCACCCACAGCTCCTCTGAATCGTACTCATCCTTATGCTCCGTCTCCATATTTGGGCTATAGGAAATGTCCGCATGGATGAGGACCAAATTACCATCGGCTCCTTGCGGATATTCGCCACTTTGCCAGTGCGCCTGCGGGACTCCAAGGTGAGCTGCATCGTGCGCTTCGCTGACTTCAGCAGCCAGGAGATCGTGGCCGAGGAGGCGGGGGCCATGCACGACGTGCACAACAACAGCTTTGCGGCCTGGAGCATCATGTGCCCGCTACACGCCTCCAGGCGCGACCCGATGCGCTTGCCACAGGCGGTGGCCCTCAGCTACGCCTCCAATCGGTTGAGCCACCTCAGCCCCAGCTTCATACAGATAAGGTGAGTGCATCATTAGACCCCACCACCCCAGTGAAGTTTCGTCTAACAGCACACGTGCAACCCCCAATAGCTACCCCCGCAACATGACGAGCTTGTTTACCAAGTCGCGACCCGCCATCTCCGTGTGCGTGGGTCCGCTCCAGGAGAACTACTCGAACGTGCTGCGACTGGTGGAGTTCGTGGAGATGTACCGGCTGCAGGGCGCCGCCCATTTCTACTTCTACTACGTGGAGGCCAGCAATGAGGTGCAACGTGTCCTGGCCCACTACCAGCGCCATGGCCTGGCGGACGTCTTCGAGTGGAACGTGCAACCGCACCTGCAGGACCTCCACTACGCTGGGATTGTGGCCCAGTTCAACGACTGCGTATACCGCGCCAACGTCGTGGATAACTATCGGTACGCAGCCGTGGTGGATCTGGACGAGGTGCTGATGCCCCTGAAGCACAATTCGCTGGCGGACTACTTGCGTCAGTGCGACGAAGGCCGCACCGCCGGCTTCGTCTTTCGCAATGTGTTCTTCTACCGGAAAGACAGCAACGACACCTTCAACTCGCCGACCCACGTCCTCAACCGGCTCCTGTATACCCAGTCCAAGGTGCGTCGCACCTTGGAGATCATGCCCGCCTATGTGCGCAGCAAGCTGGTGGTCAACACCCGCTCCATCGTGGAGATGGGAAACCACCAGGTGTACCGCTCCGCTCCAGGCTTCGTGGACCACGTGGTTCACCCCACGGTGGGGCTGCTCTTCCACTATCGCGACAAGTGCATCAACTGCAAGATGGTTCTTATCGTGGACTACACTGCCAGGCGCTTCGGTTCGCTGCTCTTCGATCGCGTCGACACCACTTGCCTTGAGGTCTTCATGGACCGCCACGGCATCTGCGAGCTGGCGTAGTCTTATCGCTGTCCCCCATCTCTAGGCCCCATATGTACCACCGAACGCCCCCTAAAACAGAGATCTCTGCGGGTTAGAAAAATCTAAGCTGGAACCCGAAACGAATCGCCGTTCAGTTCAGTGCTGTGGTTGATCTGAGCCAGTCGCCAGTAGCCAGTCGCCAGTCGCCGGTCGACATGCTGAAGTTCTGCTCCCTGCGCCGCGGCAAGGAGTCGGCGCCGTGCCCGCGTCCAGCCCAACGTGTGTCCAAGAGTGTACGACAAATTAGGCTAAGTTGCATTTGTAGTTGTTCCTCTAAGTGTTATGATATATTTAATAAAGTGTGCTTGAGTGATTTGTGATGTTACTTGATACGGTTTTACTCTCCTCCTCCCTCGCAGTCCTCGCTTCGCCTGCAGGACGTCCCGCTGAGCGATGCCCAGCTGCTTCGCATGCTCCAAGCGCAGCGGGAACGTGGTCCTCTGATACTGGCCCTGAGCAGGTGAGTACACCATCACCTGGCGGCAAGAGAGACCTGTCCATTTCTGCACTTCCAGTTCAGGGAGTCCGACGGAAGCGTGTCGAAACTGCGGCACGCCATATGCCAGTCGCAAGGTGCTTCAAAACGGGGGAGCAGAGGAGGCAACAGGTGAGCTTCCACCGCCAGATGGCTTTTCACCGCATGCCTCTAAACTTAGCTTTGGCTTGTGATAACATTTAAGTTACATTTTGTGCCATGGATTTAGATCCTAACGCTTCAGTCCTTGGTAACCATTGCTAACCAGTTTTATCCGCTTTAATCGACCTTGCTTCTTGGTGACATCTGAAATTCCATATGGATTACTCGCATAGCACGTTGATTGTCCTGATTGTAGCTTTAGCATTTGTATATATGTATTTGTTCGTTCTGTTCGCGGAACATGCCCGCGCATGAACGCTAACAAACTATACAAAATTCAATGAGAAAAGTGGAGGGTAATGGATAGGAGAGCAGTGCAGCGAAGAGAGCTTGTTCTCCCACCCTCTCGCACATGGCAATGGGAATAATAACTAACAGTGCACGCCGGCGACCCGACCCCCACCCTTACCATAGAAAACCCCGTTTTAGGGCCCTGGCAGTCGCACTGGCACCCCACCTTCCTGGCCCCCGACGGCCGCTCTGCTGCCATCCTCTTGTCTGTTGGAGCTTGACGTCGCGTCGATGACAATGACGCTGTCGTTATGGATAATAAGAGAGGGAGTGAGGGGGGCATGGTGGGCTCAATAAAACGGCAGGGTAGGGTGTGGAACGAGCGAGTGGACAACATTGCCTAAAGCCGGCAAAACATAAAAAAATCTACATACATATACATATGTAAATGCCGAGGGCTACTCCAGCAGTTGTTGAGGAAAAATTCTTGATACCTGGTTCACATTCGTACCAATGGCTTACATTTTTTAACTAGTTTAACTATAAAGTTAATAAAATACCTATCGCAACGGATCCAAACCCCTTAAACTTTCCCGAGGAACCTTGGGGAAAACCCATCTAGAAGAACTCATTAAGCACCCCTTGGAACATGTGCAGTCCCACCGACCATGTCGTCATCGTCATCGTCATCGTCAGCCATGCCATTGGCTGTCTCCACTCCAGACACATGTCCCTCTCCTGCATCTCTCACTCTCTACATTCCTCCCCAGTTCCAGCCTCAGTCGCAGTTGCAATTCCAGCTTGTGCCCTGAACCAGATGCGCACATGGTGCGGCCATATACTGAATGATTGGATTCTTTTGTTCTTTGTGTGCTGCCCAGCCTATCCCCATCCCCCTATCCAGCCCGAACCACCACCGCCCCCACACTAGAACCAGCGCCCCCTCTCTGACCTATGCGACCCTCGCTGTATGCAGTGCGTCTGTGTGTGTCTGAATTTATGCATACAAATTTGAAAAATATCGGATCTGTGGTTCGTGCCCGCCGAACGAACGCAGCACAAAGCAGAAACGAGGAACGACCTACCAAAGCATCAACAAGTCACGGCTTTAAGCCGGCTACGGCAGAGGAATCGGCATCGGCGTCGGCAGAGACCAGCAGTCCAGTCACCCACCCCACTCGACGCACTGTGGCTCGCATTCAAAAATCATATGGTAAAATTAAAAGTTCTCGGCTCATACGTGTCTCACAAATATGCAAAAACGTGCGAAAAATATTCCAAATTTTAGTACATTTAAAAATACAGGCCCATCAAACTTAATCAATCGTTCACTGCATGGGGATATGTTTTTTCGACAAGAGTTTTCAGTAAACAAGCCACTGTGCGCATTCGCGCTGAAGCTGACGTAAGCAGAGGCAGCGGCAGAGGCAGCGGCAGAGGCAGCAACAAGTCAGCGAGCGTCAGACTAATCAACAGGCGAGCTATTTGCTCTGCCCGAGGAGACAGCGACGTAAAGCGTAGTTGTTGCTATATTGGCGTTGTTGCCGTTGCTTTCGTACTTTTCGTGTGTTTGTTTGTGCTAGGCGATACCGTGGGCCCCAGCTATTTAGTTACTACCAAAGTTTTGCCAAGTCAAGTTCTCGTTGCCGTAGCCGTCGTGAGTGAAGCGAATAACATTCTGCGGGCTGCGTTGCGATCGTCAAGCTCAGCGTAAAGATAAACCGACAAACAGTTAGGACGTGTGCGTGAAATGTACTTCTGTTTGCTTGTGCAAAAATAAAAGTGTATTTGGAAAAGAAAGCAGAAAGGTTCTAACAATTTGGCAAACACAAAGTGAGTTGTTAACATACATACGATACGAGTACGAGTACGAGTAGTATTATAATTCTGCCCCTCCTTATTGTTCGGATGTGTTCAGAGATTGAGTTTGGCTCCGGCGACACTTTTTGGCTTGGCGCCCTTTTTCCGTGCCACTGTGCTAAGCGGGGATTTGACACAAGAAACGCCAGAGACTGTGCTACGCCGTGGCGTTGTAATTGTTTTACAGTGGAACCCCGAAAGCGGAAATCGTTGTTTTCTAAACATCATATTTCGGGGCAAATATCTTTTTTAAGTGGACCGTGTCCGGTAAAGGGAACTTTCACTGTTCTGCGGAGAACCTTCAACGCTTTGTTCTACGTGCCTGCCTCCTTGGCGCGCGGCTTCATTAAGTATTTAAATCAATTTCTGTTTAACCGATAAACGCCCATTGGGAAATATTGGATTTCTATTTTAAATTCAACTGATAGGCGAATGCAGACCGAATTTGGGTTAATTATTGTATTTGTGTCTGGCGATAATGATGCCCCAAAAACGGCGCAAAATGTTCGCTATTTGTATTTATATATCTATGTACATATATTATATGTTTATATGGATCTGGATGGGCAGTCTCTGTGTGCATATGTGGTTTTAATTTGTTTTAAATTATACAGTGCAACCCTTTTCCTCTGGGGCAGGCCACAGCATTTGGTTATAGTTCAATTAAGTCTCTAATGACCGGATGTTAGTGTGTGTGTGTGTGTGTTTTATTGTGTGTCTGTGTTTGAGTGTGTGTGCCATGCATGCAAATGAACTTCGGAAACTGTTCCAGAATTCAGTTTTGATTTAATTGTGAAATTATATTTTATAAATTAAATTTCCTTCGAGCGGGGGGCCAGCATTCCGCGGCACACCCAGCGCACTCGATGATTAATGGTTAATTATAATTCCCATTTGACATTCTTCTTGCGCTTCGAATTAAGCAGAAAGAAAGCCGAGTCAATACGAACAGTTTCTATGTACTATTATTTATTATTTTGCTTTTGTTTGTTACCGCTCCCCACAGCCGCGACAGAGCGCACACAATTTTGATAAGCCTCAGCTGGCAAAAATTTCAAATGGTTTCTCTCTTTTGCTGTATCTCATATGTGAGTGTGTGTTTTACCTTCGTGTTAGTAAATTTAAGACAATAAAAAAAATAGATTGTCAATTGTTAAAAGCGATAAAAATGAGAGGCAGTGAGAGAGAGAGCCGACAAAACAGTAAGGGAGGTTGACCACGAATTTGGGGAGCAGCAAAAGACCGGAACGAAAGGAAATAAACTTTTGTACTCCATAAAACGGGAAATCTAGAATTATTCAATCTTCAAAATAGTAAAGTCTATCTTCTGGACGATACATATATTCCCAAAGGTACTTTCAGCTTTTCAATTTCTTTGTTTACCAAATCGATTATTGGGACAGACAGAAAACTGCGCCCCTGACATAGTGAACCGAAAAGCGAGTGAATATTATATGTATTCCCCTAAATTTGTAATGTGCAGCTGTTCATTGTCTCAAGAGTGCCATGCCCCCTTTTCAAGTACACACTCGTACCGCTCATGCATAATTTGTACGAAATTTAAGGAAATTATCATCATCATTTATCGTTCTCCTGTGGTGACTCAATCAAGTTCGGTGTGCGGTCATTGGCTTGCCTAGCGGGACTCCCTCCGCTCGTTAAGGCCCTTGGGGCTAGTCCCCGGGCACTGGATTTTGATTTGACAGACATTGTTGCGGTTTCTGGTTGCCTGGCGGAGTGGGGGGCAGCGCTTTATTTAATTTGATTGTCGGGAGTCACTTTTAATGAATTGTGCCACATTTATTAGCCATGTTGACGGGTTGTCAGTTTTATAAAATCTGGAGTTTTGACTGAAATCTGTGCCAATCTGTTCAGTCCGTCATTTTGCATACTTTTTGGCGCAAATTGAAATGTTAAATACCTTTCTCCTTGTCCTAATATCAGCCTTTCCTGATTCCAAAAGAATTGCTACCTCGTTCGGTGAATATTTTAGTTTTAGTTTAGTATTTTTTTGGGTAATTTTCTTTGCTTGAGCGAAACTCTTCTTTTATGGTAGCGCCCACACAGATCGACCCAAACCGAATATTTCCCCAAATCGTTGACCATTTTCGCTTGGCCATTATTTCATTATAATAATTTTGTTTGTGCATGGTGGCTGGTATGGTATCTATAAAGTTGTTTTGCCGCAGCTGCCGCGCAGTTTTTATTGTCTCTGCGATGGCCTTTTGGCAATGATTTTGGGAGCAGAAGCGAAACAAAACAGCATTTCAGTATTGAATTGTGATTCAGTGTCGTCCCCAAAAAAACAGAAAATAAAAGAAATACAAAAAAAAATCGCGAAAGCAAATTCTGACAATGCAATTAGCATGAATTTGTTATTCAACAAAGAAATGAACTTCGATGTGTTCGTGTTATATAATTATTTGTTGTTCTGTTTGGGGACTAACAAATAAATCACAGCACAAACTTTTGAATAAACATTGATAAGAATATTCTTCGGCTTGCAGAATGTCTCCTGCTTATCGCATTTCGCCTGCCGTGTTGTGCGATAAGTTAACACGACTAATATCGGTGTAAACAACACAGCGGTACTCGAATTTGAAGAGAAATGTTGATCATTTATCAAAAGATTAACTTTAAACTTTTAATCTTATTCTAGATATACGGGGAATTCCCATAACAGTATACACGAACCAGAATCTCCATATGAGTGTTGGGTGTACAGATGTACATAGATACATACATACGTATGTATGTACATGCATCCATACATCCTCCTCCATTTGGAAATCTTTCCACACGTAGTGAATTATCTTTCAAAGAAAAATCACTTTCCTTCCGCTTATAGAGCCTCCAGTTAGGGCAGTTCTAAGTTCATGGAACCCCCAGCAGTGGGCTGAAATACTCACAGCGTAGTCTGGCGTACAATGCTCGTAATTACATTATAATCTAGTCCTAACCTTTCTTCACCCCATGCCCTATCGACGCCGCCTGTCAAGTGCTCCAGAAATCGAAAGCTGCTTCCAGCTGTCAATAGATTGGCCGAACGCCAAAACATTTCTATTCGCAATACCAAGAGCTCAGCAAATCAGCTGGGAGCCGGCTAGCAGCCGACGGAACCCGCTTCCAGATGGGGTTCCGGCGATGGGGCAGGGGTAGCGGCGAAGGTGTAGCTCGGCAATCAGCAAAAGTTAACGGCTCTGGCAGAAACTTTATCGCGGCTGAGGCTGGCACTGCCGCCGCCGCTTGGGCTGGAGGGAAGGAAAGAACCGGTGCTTCCAGGTGTTGGAGCTTTCAAAGCTTCAGTTTGACATTAGAACTTCGACTTTGACGTTGTGTCGATCGCTGCGGAGTGAAGCGGAGCCATCGAGAACTACACTGCACTACACACACACGAACTCGAGTACCGCTGTAGTGTTTCCCCAGTTGTTGTTTGGGGCCCGCCGATTGATTTTGCCGTTTATAAATAGCTTTGTGTGTGTTTTTCTTTTTGTTTCCCATTGTAACGCTGTTTCTGTGTGTGCGTGTATCTGTGTTTGCCTTCAACTTTAACTGTAAAGACAGAAGGAGCGAAGAGAACACTTCGGATGCTACTGAGACGAAGACGACGGACACTGACGCAATAGGGCCGAAAGTGTAATGTGTTTGTTTATACCATTTAAGAGAACAGGAAAGGAGGAGGGGTGCGATTCGGTTCAGCTCCAGTATACCGTACAATACTAATAGTTTTCACAAATCGCTGGCAATTACGCGCAAACTTTGGCACTTAGATGCGAGGCCGCAGAGCCGCGAAGTCGTCGGGAGCTGAGATCATTATTCGATTTTAGAAATTGATTCGAAAAATTCATTATGCTCAGATAAGACACCGGCGGAGAGGCGGCGGGGCGTACGAGTCTGATATGACAAAATCACATCCATTATGCCCGCATTACCCCGCTCGCCGACGGCCGGGCCCACTGTGCGGGCAACGAGAGAGTGCGCCGCCTCGGTGCCGGACGGCCCCTTGGATGTCGCCTCAGTTGGCTCACGTACGCGGCGGATAAAAGTGCGCTCCTCTCCTTTGAGGCAAACAGCCGATGCCGACGATTTGCAATTAATTGGGAATTAAATTGTAAGACTCCGTTGACCCCTGCTCATACGAACATATGTACATATGTATGCATCTGTATGTACAGATGTACATGTGTGTGTGGTGTGTGTTGTTTGCATACAGAACGTGACGTCAGAGACTGACGGTGCGCCTGTTGGTGGGTGGGTGGCAAAATCGAGCGCGCTTCATACATTAATTTACTAAACACATTGTTGTTTGTTTGTCTGTCTGTTTGTTTGTTTGTGTGGGTGAGTGAGTCTGTTTTTGTGGTTGTGCTTCCCCATCGCCAGGGTATATACCAAAAGAGGGTAAGGCAGAACGGTAATCTGCAAATATACAAAAAATGTCTGCGGCGCAATGTGAGCGATTCGGACAGGGTAGACGGGCGGGATACAATACTCCTCCTGCCTTACCCTCTATTTAATATACCTTGTCCATGACTGAGTAAAAGCCAAACAAAACACAAAAACACAACACTTTGGCCAAAAGAGAGAGAGAGAGAGATAGAGAGAGGGCCAAACATGTGCTTCGCTCTTTATGGGAGAACGGAACAGAGCAACAAAACGGAATGCTTAGCGCTGTCCAAATAAATAACAGAAACAACAAAGCGATTCAAAAATCTATGCTAATTAGCAGCAGCAGAAGCGACAACAACAATAACAACAGCCAGTGTGATACAACCACCGAAAGAGAGGGAGAAACAAAGAGAGGCAGAGCGAATAATCCATGCAAAAATAACAAATGAAATGAGAGGGAAACTGGAAGACGGTACTACGAATACCCTATAAGTGACAAAACGTTGATGAACAATAATAAGCGATCGTGGGAACTAGGAATCTTTCCTTGGAAATAATATAGTTATTTCTAATCTTTCTTCACAGAAAGAATGCACTCATTCTTTCTTATTCCGAACAAACATTCAAAATCGACGTTCCTTTTCATATCTACATATGTATGTATAAAGGATTCTTGTAGCGACATATTCTTTCGACATAAAATAGCATAAAGAACCTTCTTTAGAGTGCCCCTTATTATTTGCTTGCTGCATTTTTTTGAAATTCATATTTCGCTAGAAATTTCCGAAGAATTGATATCCCCCTATACATTTTCCCCCCATACCTATTACTCCAACAGGAAACTTTTTCGCCAGTGTTCCGTTCCTCATGCTTTATCAGAAATGCAAAATTTATCAGCGATTGGGGCCAGAAAAGATAACACAAATGTGCGCTGTTCTACAGCAATCGAAAATGAAATGAAGAAATCAATTTTCTAAACTAATAAATACAAAATTTCTATAGATTGCTTACGTCCATAATTCAAGCACCTCGAAATGACTCAAACGATCCACCCAGAAGAGAATTTCCAACGGAAACCGAATCAATTGTTTCTGTATTTATGTGCAAGATTGTAGTTTACCAGCGACTGAGAATGGCGTGTGGTCTGAATAGTTTTGCTCAGTCAAAGGAGAAGACGACGCTTGAATGGTTCCCAATTGTGTGGCCCCACATTTTGCACCTTGTCCCACTGTGCATAAAATAGAGATTGCATAATCCAATGCAGGCCAACCCATTCCCTTTCCCTTCCCCCGAATGCACATCACGTGTCTGGGCTGTCTGGCACCTGACAAGGGCCACAGACTTCACTTCACTTTATTTCACTTTAGATCAGATCGGATCGGATAGGAGGAAGTTGCTGATGATGATGATGGAGGGGCAGACAAACAAGAGAGATTGCGGTCCATTAAGTACCTTTAAAAATAAAAGCGGAATACTACTAACCGCATGGCCCACTAGGATGATACACCCAAGTGCTATATATACATGGGGATATATGTATGTACGTCTGTACGAGTATATGCTATTGTATATGTATGTGCTTCAATTATTCAAGAGTACCCAGCAGCAGAAACAGAAACAGAAGCAGGAGCGGCGGCAGCGGAGACTTGTGACCACAAAAATCAAAATCAAAAGAAATTACGCACGAAAAATATCTCGAAAATGCCATAAGTTGTATACGTATAGATACACAGTCAGCCAGCCAGCCAGATACATACAATACATATAGACAAACTCGAACTGTGGCAAACTATTTCCGTATTGAGTTCTCTTCTCCGATGAATGCCCTGCATACGATTTCTTTGGGCATATTGCACTGAGAGTTTTACCAGACTTATGCGAATAAGAGTACATTTTTTCAGAGTCATTAGGCTATGAATCGCTAGTAAATTATTGAATTTTGAAAGTTCTTTGGTTTCTCTGACAGCAAAATACTAATATTTTGTACCATTTCATTCCATCATTCGGAAAGAAAGATTTGAAAAATGTCTTGGGGTGAAACATAAAGCCATTTCCAACACAAAAATGTCTCTAGAATATTTCTCGAAATGATATTTTTCAGACATTTAACAAAGAATTTATGCAGCTTAAATACCAACAAATTATAAGTTTGTTCCAAAAACAGTTTCGAATATTTATGGAGGTGTCAAAAATATTCTCGAAATGAAAAGTTTTATATTTTGTATCTGTCGTATTTGTTTGGTTTTAGGAAATTGCATTGACCTAGAGGAGATTTTGTTGTTTTTCGCGGAGAGTCGTCCGTTGCCTTTGGAATACCCTGCACTGCACTGCTTTACTGACTCCCCCACAGCCCCCACCCCAACACACTCCCACTCATTACCGCTCTCTCTTTCTCTCTCTCGAGATCTTTATGAATTCACGATTTGTTTTTGCTGCTTCTGATTTTTGTGTATATTTTCAAATACGTGCCTCTGTGCAACCAATTAGACATTGGTGTGAGTGTGTGCGTATAAAAGAGTGTGCGTGGTGTGTGTGTGTGTGTGTGTGTGTCGGGAACGGGCTCCCGGCTGCCACAGCAAACCAGCCCATGGCCCATTCCTTGTCCGTCAGTCGCCAGCGCCACGAGGAACGCGGGAAACGCGGCCCACGAACCCCCCCGGGATAAATATTTAGAAAAAAGATTTTCCGAATCGGGCAACGAAAAGTGAAAATCGAAAATCTCCGAGGAATCTCCGACGAAACATCGAAAGTTGAGAGTTGAAACGCAATTTAATTTGGCATACAAAACAACACCAAGAAAAAACCCGTCGAAAAACAACCAAATGACATAGAACGGATCGCAGACCGCAGAATATTACGATCTATACGCGAATTTTATTCGTGCAGCAAGGGGCCGGACGCGTGCCAGGCACTGGGGCGTTGGACGCCGGCGTCGCAGTCGACGCTGACGACGTGTTTTTTAATATTATTTTTCCTCGTTTTTCACTTTCCCATGTTTTGCCGGCTGTCGGTCGTGTCGTCGTGGGCTTGTTGCCGGCGGATCCGCTCCGAGCGGTTTCAGTTCTAGTTGGGTTTCTGGCGACGAGTGACACACCGAGTCAGAGGCAAAGCCAAAGGCATAACCAGAGATAGAAACAGAAACAGAGACAGAGAAAAATACTAGAAGAAAGAATCCACGACAACGACAACGACAACAACGAAATAGGAAATAGCAATAGGAATAGAAATAGGAACAACAAAATATAGTTGTAGATTTCGCTGATTGAGGAAAACACACAGATACGATACACACATACACATACACAGATACATTTATTAAGAGAATCCAATTGCATTACTAGTCGAGTGATCGGGAGGCGTGAGACGTGACGAAGACGATGCCCAATAATCGCAATCGCAATCGTAATCGCAATCGCAACAAACGCAATCGAAACCAAAATCAAAACCAAAACCAAAACCAGCAGCAGCAGGAACAGCGGGAGGAGGAGCAGCAGGATCCCCAGCCAGAGGCAGAGGCATCATCTTCTTCCATAGCTGATAATGGAAATTCTGGCAGCGTTTCAAATGAATTGGACACGGGCAGCGCCACCAACAAAGTTGCTGTGGATCCGCAGCTAGGAGAGTGGGAGGAGCCACCAAAAGCAGCAGCAGCAACAGTAGAAGAAGAGGAATCCACAAATCACGCAGCGAAAGACGAGACGGAAGAAAAAGAACCATCTTCGAGCAGCAACAAAACAGAGATGGGGTCCAAAAACTCCAAGCATCAGACGGATAAATCCGGCAAGCAATCCAGCAATGAGCCGGAGAAGCACAAAAAGGAGTTGGAGCAGCAGGAGGTGCCTCAGTTGAAGGCACCGGGAAGTCCCCGACAAGCCAAGGTCATAGTGCATCGCATTGTGCGGGAAGCGGATGAGACAGATGGGGCAGAGCAGCCAAAAGGGGAGTCCCCCATTCAGGATCAATCACAGGATCAGCAGCAATCAAACATTAGTCAAGATCTGAAAGAAGATGTCGCACAACGCAATGAAGAAGTCCCTGTTCCTCATGTGGCCCCACATCCGCAGGGGCCGCCGCTGCAGCGCAGCACAAAAGTGATCATCCACCAGATACGCCTGGAAAGGGACGATCACGCGGCCGATCAAGAGCGTAAAGGTAAGCCCACCTTTGTGGAGATCAGCACCACCTCACCAGCACCCCCCGCTTCGCTGAGCCTCAGCCAAGGATCAGGATCAGGCACTCTGTCGCCGCCGCCGCGCTATCTGGTAGAGTCGCCCAAGAACGTGTCCGGCGCCGTGGGACATTTCACGCACTTTGCCCGCGACGTGCAGATCCAGGAGCTGGAGCTGACCAGCGACTGCAGCTCCGGGGAGTTCAATGTACTGGCTTCGCCGCTTGTGTGCGAGGCGGACTCCGAAACGGAGGCAGCACCGGCCACGCCCACGTCAACATCCCCGCCGGATTTGCAGCCGTCCAGCCGCGCCGAGCAACAAGAGCAGCTGCGGCAGAAGCGCGCCCAGAAACGGAACGCCCTGGAGACGCACTTCCTGCCGCAGCTGATGCACCCGCGCTACCTGGACAGCATCCTGGAGGAGAACAGCGATCTGGCAGGTGTCGGGCATCCCGGCCTAAATCGCAGCAGCTCCTCCGGAAACGATCTGGCGGGGATGCGCGTTCCGAAGGTGACCGAAACGTTCCCCAAGAGCCAGCTGGACTTTAGCCGTCGACACAAGCGCAGGGAGGAGCCGGTGGCCCTCATGCTGGAGACGAAGCTGATCGAAGAGGCCAGCGACCTCGAGAGCTGCACTCGACTGCAGAGCGCACTGTCGCCCCAGTCCGAGGACGCGGAATTGGTGTACCTCAGCTCCTCGGCCTCCAGCAGCATGTCCGATCTGATGGAGCTCGAGCTGGAGCAGGCCGCAGCTCTGGCTGAGCGCGCCCTCGTCGACCTGGACACGGATGCCAGCAAACTGTTCCGACGGCCCGACGACGAGATGAGCAGCACGACCACCACGGATCCGGCCACGTCATCGAACGAGACGGAAACGGAGGGCGAACTGGAGACGGAAACGGAAACGGAGAGGGACGCGGAGAGTCGCGAGAGCACACCTGTTAACCAATTCGTCGGCAACGCGGGAGCGGAAGCGGGAGCGGGAGCGTCGGCTAGCAGCTCGTTGTCTTCTCTTTTGAGTGCGGCAACGCCGACGCCCACAGCAGAGCAGCCAACGAGAGCAGAAGATACATTTGTATCTTTCGGATCGATTCGCGAACAGGCCCCAGAGGCCAGCGGCGGCAGTATCGGTGCAGCGTCAGCGCTGTCGGCCACGCGAGAGGAGTTCGTTCGCAATATGGAAAAAGTGCGCGAGTTGATCGAGATGACGCGACGCGAGCAGGAGCACGAGGAGACCAGAGATGGAGTCGTGTCCGCTCCGACTGCTCCGGAGCAGTCCGGTATGCCACGTTCGCCATCGCCCCCGCCCATTCCGCCGCCACCCGCTGGCCTACAGCACTACAATCCCACCAACAGTCCCGACCACCCCCACACAGTGTCCTCCGGTGCCTTGGCGCCTCTCCTGCTTAGCCGCCAGGAGTCCGCGGAGTCGCATTGCTCGGACAGCACCCAGCACAGCCAGTGCACGGCCATCAATCTGGCCTCGCCCCCGCCCAGCTTTGCTAGCAGCAGTCCCCCGCCACAGCCCCAGCCACTGCCACAGAAACAGCCACAGCCACCCACACCGCCCCTCAGACAACAACAGTACCATGCACCAATATACCCTGTTCCTCTTTCCGCTCCTGCACCTGCTCCTGCTTCCACCTGCACGCACCCAGAACCCCCCACCGAGCAGCAGCAGCAGCAAGAGTCAGAGATTTCAGTTGCAGATGACGAACTGGAACTGGAACCGGAACCGGAATCAGAATCGGATCCCATAAAGAAGCTTCGCCTGCTGTGCACCGAGACCTTGGCGTCTATGCCGTATGGCGAGCAGGTGCTCGAAGAACTAGCCAGCGTGGCCCAGGACATAGCGGAGCCAGGAGCGCAGCCGCACAACTCCACCACGATGCCCTATCCCCTGCCAGAGATGCCCCACATTCGGGAGCTGCAGCTATCCACTAAACACGAGAGCAAGTCATCGTCGTCGTCGTCGTTCTCCTCTTCCGCCTGGCTGGGCATGCCCACACAGGCGGATCCCAAGCTGCTGGTATGCCTGTCGCCGGCACAGCGTCCACTGATCGGAGAGACCAAGCCCGATCAGCTGCTGGACGACCATCAGAAGTTCGTGGAGCGACGAGGCTACCACGAGCTGAGCAAAGCCCAAGTGCGTGCCCTCGACAGCGAGCAGGAGCAACAGCAGCAGCAGCAGAAGCAGAGCGAGATGCTCAAGACGGCGGCCATGATGCGAGAGTTGCGCAAGAGCCTGACACCCACGCCGCCGCCTGTGCCAGTGAAGAGCGCCGAAACAGCGGCCAAGGCGAGCGCCAAGAGAGATGACGCAAGCGACCCGAAGAAGAACGCAGCATCAGTGGGAGCATCGTCATCGATTGAAAATAAACCAAGGCGAGCAGCTGATCCCATCGAGCAGCAATCGACAGAGCAGCAAGAGCAGCAGCAGCCGCACCAGCAGCAGCAGACCAGATCCAGCCACCAGATGAACAGCAGCACGGACGTCAGATTCCCGGCCACCTCAATGGGCGGCATGGAGAGCGAGCTGGCCAGGATGTTCCCCAGCATGGCCCAGCAGCAGGGCGACATCTTTGAGGAGCAGCGCAAGCGCTTCTCCAACATCGAGACGTCCAACAGCCAGCAGCCAAGGGCGCAGCAGAGCAAGCGGTACTCGAACATCGAGACCAGCTCGTACGAGTCGAAGAAGCGCACGGAGAACGGTCAGGTGATCTACGACATAACGAATTCCAGCCACGAGAAGCAGAGCAACCGCTTCCCGGTAGCTGAGACAGAGGCCAGGTCGGATTCCCCCGAACACGCCCCGCCGCCACCCGTCCCACCGCCGCCAATTATGTCAGCAACGAAATTAAACGGTTCGACTACGGCAAACACTTTCATTGAGGATGATGACGCGCCCAAAAATAGCCGGCAAGAGCCGGATAGGCGAGAGAATGGCGCGAGCAATCGCGAGAGTGGCACTGCCTCTACCTCTACCTCTACCTTTGGCGGCACGTATGAGGAATTTCGGCAGCGTGCCAAGGCAGCCGTGGATGCCATTGGAGGACCCCGACCACCACCGACAGCCCCGACCAACGGGTTGGACAATGAGAAGGTGTTCAAGGACTTCGACCGGCTCTCGCAGCAGATGAACGCCGAGCTGCAGTCCACGAGGGAGCGGCGCGAGAAGTCCGCCTCGCTCTTCGATCTCAGCGGGATGACCAGGAGCCAGGGGAAGCATCCGCTGGAGGAGTTGAAGCAGCGGCGGCACGCCCACATGCAGGAGCTTGAGCGTGAGATCGAGCGATCTTCCCGATCGCGGCAGGAGCGCATGTCCTCGGTGCCACGCAACCTGGAGAGCACACCCACGTCCAGGACCCACGAGATTCCCATCGAACTGGAGCTGGAGCAGGGGCAGGAGCAGCGTTCCCGGCGCGCCGAATCCATGTGCAACCTGAGCGAGCCACGCCCCCGGCCACACACCTCCGTGGGGCACTACAACTACAGCAACAACAACAGCATCTTGTCGCAGGACGACTGGGCGCGTTATGCCAGCGATCTGGGATACTCGGAGAATATCGCGCGACCCTTTGCCCGAGAGGTGGAGATCTGCTACCAGCGTCAGGGACAGAATCCGACTCCCAGGCAATCGCAGCCCATCCGGGCGCCACGCCTCTCTGCCAGCACCAACGACCTGAGCAGCAGTGGCCACCAGCACAGCTTCGATAGCTACAACGCGTACGGCGGCAGGAGGACGCACGCGCCCATGCTCAGCCAGGCGCCACAGCAGCAGCGGCCCCACTACGCCAGCTGCTACTCGATGATCGAGCGAGATCCGAATCCGAAGTACATCAGCACCACCTCCAGGCGAGGCGTGAGCCCGGGCCCAGCTCCATCGCCAGTCATAGGCGTACCGCCGCCAGCCTATGATCGCCAGCAGAGGCGATCCTCGCTGCCGCGTGAGCTGCACGAGCAGCAGCTCAAGTACATCCTGTCCAAGGAGGAGGAACTGCGCCTGGAGGTGGAGCGGCTGCAGCTGGAGCGCCGGCGCCTGATGGAGGAGATGCAGAGGGCGCCCATATTGCCGCAGCCACAGCGACGGGAGAGCTATCGGCCGGCGGCCAAGCTGCCGACGCTCAGCGAGGACGAGGTGTTCCGCCAGCAGATGGCCGAGGAGTGGATGAACAAGGTGGCCGAGCGTGAGGAGCGGCGCCAGCACAAGATCATCAAGATTTCCAAGATCGAGGACGAGCAGGACCATGCCACAGAGCGGGCCAACATAAGCGACGAGTTCCTCAGCGCCGTCAAGGAGCGACGCCACAAGCTGGCCATGCCGGCGGACAGTGACTGGGAGAGCGGGGCCGAATCGCAGCCCCAGGCCAACCCCCAGGTGGGCGTGGCCGCCAACGAGTCGTCGTCGGATGTGGAGGCAGCGCCCGTGCGCATCCTCGAGGGACAGGCGGAGGCCAGTCTGCGACAGCTTCCGAGGCATCTGCGCGAATTTGCCAAGTTCTCGACTAGCGAACAGATGCCGGATGGGGCACAGGTGGAGCGGCACGAGCAGCAGGAGCGGCGCGAGGAGGCCACGGACCACTCGCACAGCAGTGCCAGCCAGAAGACCAGCATCGTGAAGACGTACAAGGTGTCGCGTCTGCCGCCTTCCGTGCAGGGTGAGTTTTCCTCCTCCTCCGGTGGCGGAGGAGCTGCTGGGACGTCGCCCAATAATCGTAATCGTTATCGCAATCGCTCGCAAACGGCGAGGCTCGTTAGTCGTAATATTCCACTTGGACTAACTGGACTAACTGCTTCCGTAACTAGTTCCCGCTCATCGCCCGAAACAGACCCATCTGGTCGTGGTTGTGGTTCCCGTTCCCCCATCAAAGGTTCCCTGTCGTCCCACTCCCCCATTCACACTCCATCGCCATCTCCATCTCCATCGCCACCTCGACCCACAAGCACCGCCATTAATGATCCCGCCCAGGCGTCCACATCCACCTCTGCCGCACCCACCATCTTGGGCACTGCCCTCCTCGTAGGTCTGTCCCTGCTGACGGCCTGGAATAAGTTTAGCTAGATCCCATAGCTCCATTATCCCTCTCCCGCTCCCTCCCACTCACCGGTGTACGGCCATCTCCCTCACACACCATCCATATTGTAGATACACTCTCTGTCTGTCTCACTCTTTCTGTTGTACGTATCTCTATCTCTCTCTCTCTCTCTCTCTTTCGCCCGATTGTTCATTGTGTGCGCCTTCCTCCTACTCTACTCCTCCACACAGACGATGCAACAGAATCCACCTGCAACAGTCATCCCGTGGCGCACGAAAGCAGCTCTTCGACAGGCCTGCCGCGGTCGCCCCTCCCGAGCATGTTCAATGGCGACCTGAAGGAGCTCTTTGCCGGGTCGCCCTTCCGCTCCAAGATCTTCGAAGAGTTCGACAAATACTGGCGAAACTTTGAGCATTCGGCGTCGAACAGCTTCTAGAGAGCATACCGAACCCCCCTTTGAACCGGAAGCAGAACCACAATCCAATCCGAATGCTTTAACCCCCTATAGCCACCCCTCTCCCACCCTTCCACGCAGCTGCATGCAGCCTCACCGTCCCCGCCCCTGCCCCCGCCCATGTCCTCTCTACACTCAGCTCCTAAATTAGGTGAAAATTTGTGCAAAATATTGTTTTGTGAAACTCTTGTTAAATGTTTGACATTGAAAAATTAATAAAAACAAAATTTATATTTAGTGTTGTTTAATGTTTAATAAACGAAAACTATTCGATTAACCAGAAAATGTTTATTGATATTCGATTACTTGTTGCATTTTCCTGTATTCCATTCCGCATGCTGAAACATTTTCCATTTACAATAGTTGTGTGATATGTCCAAAGAGAGGGATGATATGCTTGAAACCAAACTAATCCATGTACAGATATATTCTTTATAGATGTGTAGTGTACATAGTCATACCATATAACACTGTGCGATTAAATTAATGTTTGAATGTGTCTTACACGAGACAAAAGGTTGGTTGTTGCCTGGCAATATACTCCAAAAATCTTCTTTAAAAATGCAAAACCTTGCATGACTTTACGCACTTTAATAGTTTTCACTCGGTATCTATAGTGCTGATATCCTACATAAAAGATGTACAAAACAAGGATTTTTTAGGGTAATATAAAATGGTGTTGAGATATCAAAATATTTCTCATTCTTTGCACAATTTTACATAATTCCAAAAAGCTTTTTTAGTTGAGGAATTAATTGCAGTGAAAAAAAATAAAATCTTAAAAAATACCCTACAAAACAAACATTTCTTTGGTTAATCTCAAAGTTGAAAAAACATGTTAAATTGGTTGATATAATCTTCAGGGTGGCCATTGTATTAAATCCAATGAAAGATCATATATATTAATATCTCTTTGAAAACCCATCAGGGTTTTTTTTGTGGCGGTTATGTTGGACGTTATAAAGATTTTTGTCTCTAGCAAATTTTAAAAAGACTGTCGCACAGTGTAAATATGCATACAGTGCGTTTGGAAACTATAGGACTGACATAACCATTGCAATGCCCTAACTTAATTAATTAACTGCTGACTGCCTTGGAAATGCGTCCTAATTTGAAACATTATATCGAAGTGCCTTCTTAACTGATCTTTATTCAATGCTTGTTACCAGATGTCGGTCTAATACAGTTATCGCTTTCATTTGATCAATTTAATTCGATAAATGAAATTATTCAATGAGGAAATTCATTCGATAACCGGAGAAAAATCAAGACAATTGAGGGCACTGTTCAAGAAAAATATTCAGATGTATGTATATGAGATACATATTTGATCGATTCATTTCAATATACGACCTGCTAATGACCCATTAATAGATCATTTAAATATATTATTTCCTTCTAAATTTCTTGTTACCGTGTAAACGCAACCTATGCCCTATATATATACCCGTAGCTTTGAAACGCACTGCAACCAAACACCCACAGATAAATACGTGTTTAAATTTAAGCTTAAATTAAGTCAATGTTTAGACTGCCTTGTAAATGAAATGCTTTGCTTAATCTGCTCAGACTCTGCGCTCAAATGTCTTAGGGCTAAAATCGGCTTAACCCTTCAGCTACTCGTACAATATACCAATTCCCCTTCAAAGGCAATCGAGAATTTGCAAGAGAAGACACAAGAAAAGATAGAGGAGAAGAGAGGAGCCGAATCGCGATTAAGCGGAAATTTTAAATTAATTCCATTCAATTGCATGGAAAACAAAGTGCAGTCCGACCCGACTCCGACCCGACAGACGTCTCGTTTGTTCAAAGAAGAATTACGGAATCGGGGGCAATTGAGCGGAGAGACAGAGACACAAGACAGAAGCGCCGACTGCGAAAGAGAATGAGAGGGAATGCAGAAATCTAACCGAATGCTATCATTTAGACAGAGGAGCAACAGCCACTGCAACAGCCACAGCAACAGCAGCAACTGGCACAGAGACTGGACCGGCCATGAGTGTAAGGCTGCGACCACGACCGCCCAAGCAGACGCGCTTCCTCCTCAATCCGCAGCAACTGCAGCGTCAGAGGCAACGACGCAGCTGGTCCGAGAGCGATCTGCTCAAGGAGATCGACAGCGAACTGCAGCTGGCCAAGGGCTTCCTCTACGCGAATGGTGTGTCAAAACAGAGCCCCGAACCGAACTGAACCGATCCCCCCCATCCATGGCCCCCTAAATGTTGTGACTCCCCACCCCCCGCTAATTTGTGCAGCTGCTTGTTGAGTGTCTAACCCCATTTTCGGTATAATTACGACTAAATTGAGTTTAATTTTAGTTTTTCATTTTTGTGTCGAGTGAATTTCGCGCATCCGCCTGAAAGTATGCAGCGAATTTGGCTCTCGGTTTTCAGGAAATTCTCAGCATATTGCGTATACGACGTGAGCACCGCACCTCTGGTCATTTCCCTCACTCAACTATATATATATATATATGTATATCTTTTGGCTGTATTCCGTTCATAATTTATGACCCACTTGAGTCAAAGATCTCGCTCTTACTCGCTCTCCAACGATCTACCATTCAGGGTCTCCCTCTCCGGTCTCTGTTTACGAAAGCATCCAAAATAAAAATGTTGTTTATACTACTCGCACTGGGCGAAGGAAATACGAATTATATTTTTCATCTGAGATGCGAGAACAGAACTGAGAACTTTCGTTCGTTCAACAAATTTGTTTGGTTGCGCTCGCACACAAATTGAGATTTTTTGTTTTTCGGCTGGGATTTCTTGGGGCGGGCCGTTCTGAATACGTTTTTGAAAACGAACCAACGAAAATCCAAGCAACCTGCATGAAAATGAAACACTTTTCGTAGTCGTCGTCGTGTTAAAGTCGTGTGAGCAACGCGAAGGCGCGTCAGCAAAAGAAAGAAAACGAAAAAATAGAAAATAGTCCGAAGTCAGAAATCAGAAATCAGAAATCGCTTCTATATTTCCACAGCAATAGAAAAAAAAAAATGGGGCAGGGTTAGTCGACCGTTTTGTATTCAAATTTGTTTGTGTGTGTTTCCGTGCCTTTCCCCGGCTGCCACTTGGCCCCCTACGAAAGATACACGCGGGCCCCAGCAGTCTCCAAGTGAAGTGAACTGAACTGAGTGAAGTTTCGAGAGACCCCCGACAAACCGTATCTAAAACCCCCCAAAATTTTGCCATCTGCCCTCCGACTTTTGCAGAGTACACTCAGAGCACGGGCACGACGATGTTTGCACCAAAATTCAAGGCACGCGCGCCGTCAGGATCAGGTAAATGGCAGCAGCTATGCCAGCGGATGCACCACCGTCTGCACCGTCTGCACCGCCTGCACCGACAAATGGCACACATGACGTTTTCAGTGGGTTGTCTGGCTGTTTTCTTTGATGTATGTAGATGATGATTCAACGGCGAATCTCGGGCTGTGAATGGAAATTTCTATCTTTTTGAGACTTGAGTGACTACACTCACTTCCCGCGAAAATCCATCGTTTCCCAATCAACTTTTCATCTCGCGATTTATCGCCCTTATTTATAGATTATTTAATGAAGATTTTCTATTCTGTTTGGCTTTTTCTGAACTTGATTTCACTCGCTTTGGGTCGTTTCGGATTGTTTATTTTAAATATTTCACATTAGTTCATGTTAATTGTGCGCACACCAAAATTTCAACATGATTTAGACGAGCATTTTGGAAAATCCAAAGGCTGGAAAGGGGGGCGGGCTGATGTGGTGGGGTGGTGTGGGGTGGGGTGATGTTGCTGGAGGTGCGCCATGGCTAAATATATGAAATGACGTACGATCACGCAGAGCAACAGAAAATACGGGAAAATATTTATTACAATATTTGCAATGTGCTCAATTGTTGTTCTTGTTAGCCGCCGCCCACGCGGATTCCGCCTTTTACAGTCTCCAATAAAAGTTCGCGCCATACGAAAGCAACACGAACACTGCCAGAGATACTTGGATGCTCTCTGCCTTGTCGCCCTGACCATTCCATTCTATTCCATTCCATCTGATGTGCTGTGATGCCCGATTCAGATTTGTTTGCCTTGGGGTTTCGTTTCCATTCCAGCCATGATCCCCATAAGGCTCCACGGGGGCGTACACAAATCCATCAAAAATCCATCGTTTCTCGATTGGCGTCATCTGATGGCTGATATGTAGCTCCGGACCGGACTTTATCTATGCTATACGGCCGGTATGGGCTTTGGAGATTGGTAGAAGATCCCATACACATAACATATTTATTCGAAGCATTAATCTGTGCGAGTATGTTTTTATTTTTAACATTCTCTACTCTCTGGTTCTATTTTCTTTATATTTTGTTGTTGTTGTGCCTTTGGCTATGCCAAAGAATGGAAAAGTATAAATTCAAAGACTTTTAGTGAGTGAAAATAATTTATAGTTTTTTTTTTTGGTATAAATTCAGTTGAACTTGAACGAAAAGTTCGCGTATCTTCCTTTCGGTTGGAAACGGGACGGGGCGGAACGGCGATTCCCATTTTGGTTGATGACGTTGTCGGGGATGAAACGGGGATTATATGATGGATTATAATGGGGCTCTGATGATGGATAAGTGTGAGATCGCAGGTGGCTAAACGTCAAACATAACAGATCAAAGTGGGGTAGTTAGGGCTTCTCCTTCTGGTTGATGTTTTTTAGCATATGGAAGGGTGTTTTTGACTAGAAATTGATCATTGAAAGATGGAAAATATAAGTTGAAATTATGAGGAGAAATTTAGATATCTCCGGACATATACAAGATGCCATATCTGTCTTAAAAACATAGTTTTTGAGGTTTCACAGCTATGCGACTTTCTTCTAGCTTTGTTTTCATAATAATTTAGCAATATAAACGATCAAACAAATCTTCCGTTTTCGATACAATCTATTCCCCCTCCCCTTCTTCCCTTCTTCATTCAGAAGTAGAGTTCCAGGTTCAATTAGCAAAGCCACAAATATCCACTCCATAAATAACCGAAACTCGGGAGTCCCCCGATCCCACTCCGCAGACGGGCGCGTTCTCCCTAGGCATTCCACATAAATCAACTCAGGAAATGCTCTCAATTTGCCAGAGGCGGCCGCACCCATTCCCAGTTCCAGCCCCTGCCCCAGTCGCAGTCGCAGTGACAGGTCTCCGACTCGAAAGCAGTTCCGAGTGGAACTCCCGACTCCCGTTGCCATTCAGATTCAATGACAGGTTGCACAGGCGTCTATGCAGCTACATATATGTATCTATCCCCCGCCTCCCCCAGCCCTTTTTCATGCTTTGTGCTGGATTTTCACAAGGCCAACGCGGGTCGGGTTCCGCTATGTGGAAAACACTTTGGAAATGATCTAAAGTGAGAATTAAATGGTTACCCCAGTCATTGTTGTTGTCGCTGTGCCCGATTCGTTTCAGAATCTTTCTTGTTTGCAAATCGATAAATTTCAAATGAATTGCCTCCAACAACGATATTCGAAATGCGACTTCTGCTCGACTGCGGGCGCTCCTTGAGGGTGTGCCGCTCTATCGCACTCAAGTGCCTTTATTAACATTTTTTCCAAGCGAATTTTCCGTTTGATTTGATTCTAAAGCAGCAGCACCCGGGCAGCAGTGTCTGCCCGGCCACCGGAAGTGCCCCGCCAAACAAAACCAAATCAAACCGAACCAATCGAAGCCAAGCCGAACTCGAGCTCGAGAGTCGGTTGCAATGACAATTGTCTTTGTGTCTTTTGTTTTTGGTCTGGCTTTGCCGAAGAGTTGTTTTGTTTTTTGGCCAGCAACAAAAAGCCAACGAAACGCAATGAAATCATTCCGGGGAACCTTTTGTCGCCGCACACATTTCCGTTCCATTTCGCATTGCACGCATAATTGGCGCCCAAGTCTGGGTACCGTACCTGGGTATCTGGGAGGGAGCCAGAGGCCGAGCCGCCTCCCCTTTCCGCGCTTGATCGAGCACCGAACTGCTCCCACAATTCGAGTAATTGATCTTCTGCTGGGTGCTGGCTACTGGGTACTGCCGAGGAGCGACTGCCCCACCGAACTGGGTGTGTTGTTTGCCTGCTTTTGGCTGCTCGTTGGCTGATTTTGCCTTTTGTCTCCATTCTCATTCCCAGTCCCAGTCCCAATCCCATTACATTCCCCATTTGGGCCACGCTGGCGCGCTCTGCTCGCTGCTGCCGGGTCACGCAAAATTCAGTTCGCCTCGAGCCGTGCGCGGAGTCAGCAACTCAATCAGCGACATCGCTCTCCAAATCCGTTTCCGTGTCCATAACAGCGTGTATCTGTGCGACTATCGGTGCCCCATCCTGTGCCCCATCAGCTAGGTAAATCCATCAAATCCGAATACAAATCAAAATGACATCCATAAACGGGTGTGACTCAAGTGACCAATGGATTTCTGTGTGTGCGAGTGTGTGTGTGAATTTGATTGACATTTGCGAGGAGAAACTTCTCCTTTTGATTCGATTGTATAATTCAATTAAGTGCTGATTGAATAAAGACGTCAGCGCGCCCACATACGAAACATCAGACCTCCGCCCACCCCCCTCCCGCCCCCGCCAGAAACAGCAACGAAAACCGCCAACACATTTAGAGGCAGCATCGATGGTGCCTCCTCTGTGAAATACGTGTCAATGTCTCGAAGGCAATGCGCCGCCTAGGGCAGACAGCAGCAGCAGCGGCAGCGGCATATGTATCTGTATCTGTATCGGTGTATCCGTGCCTCTATCTATGGGTTTTGTTTTTTTACAGGTGGCAAATAAATCTGTATAATGAAAGATTTTGGCTAGACCCAATGCAAAGACTGCACAGACACAGCGCGGGTTTCTTCGCAAGTAAGAGAGAAACTCGGATAATCGGAAAGGGAGGATTTCACATGGCAGTGAAAAATATGCAAGCTGGTTGTCAAATTTAATCTTTTAACGTTTGAATCAATCTATTTGTGGTGGCCATTTTGTCTTAAATTTACACATCAGGAGATGTTCTTAAAAGAAGATACAAATACCTATAAAGAAGGACAATTTCGAAGGGTATGTCTTCCTGAAACATTATAACACAAATACTTAATAGGGCAAGAATTTGTTGTTTGGACTCCTCTGTTTCTGGTACTTTAATTCTCCTTCGGGCCATCCTTCGCCTCTGACCTAGTCGGCTTCGTCTGCTCGTCAATGCCTTGGCAGCTGAGTCGGTCCTCGGAGTCCGATAATAAAATACACGACCTTTGACGATAGCTACTACTAGTTAGCTACTAATGCATTCAATGCATTTAATATAATATACATTTTGTATGCCATATGAACAGCTAGTCGAAGTTTTCGGTGTATAGATCTTTCAAAGAAACCAATGTTGGATCTTTCTCATGCTCCTGATGTTTTGTTTCTTGATTGCGATTGTAGAATGCGAGATATTGAGATATTACAAATATTGATAGCATGAACATGAGTTAGACAGAGATGCCTTTTAGAGGTTTTCGGTGCCGTTCAACAGACCTATTGATCATTTGATATTTGAGACTTATCGATATCGATTGCGAAACACCTGAGAAGCAATCGATGAGAATATTCGTATGGTTTTGCTGATATTAAGATAGATCGATCTTCTTCGATTTGTTTTGGGATAATCGATTCGTTGCGGGCCAACAAACCCTTGGAACACACCTCGCATCGTTCTTTAACGGTTCGAGAATATACAGATACGTTTGTACGTGAATATCTATTTGTGTGATTGTGAATGCTAAACATGCGCCAAATGCTGTGACTCATCCGCAGCGCCTTTACACTCCCCTCCGGCCATTCGTCCGACCATCCATCCGACCGTGTGTGAGAGTGTGGCTGTGTGCATGCGTGAGAGCGGTGCGAGAGTGTGTGTGTGAGTGTGTTTTGGGCGATTTTTGAATGGCTGCCAAATGGCGGCTAGGCTTCCTTGGTCGCCGTCCGTCGTATTAATTATTGCTGTTCCACGTCGCTATGTTTGTTTGTCAATTTGTCTTCGCTCGGTTTGTTGACTGCCGAAACGAAACTATATTCGAGAGAAGGAAGAGAACTGAAGGGAGGGGAGGGTAGGGAAAGGGAAAGGGAAACCGCAGATTGCGAGCGTGAACTTGCTGACAAGTGTAAATGTCCAGGGGAGGGGAAACTCAATCTCTGAACGATCTCGATATCCGGCGCCCCTGAAGATGTCATGTTGCCTGTGCCCCCCCACCTGTGCCCCCCCACCTGTGCCCCAAACGCCCACGCTCTCAATCATTGAAAACTTTCAACAGGCGTGTGGACACCGTACGGTTCCGCCAGCGATCTGAACCACAGCTCATCGGCGGCGCCCACGCCCCCGCCGCCGCCCACGCAGCCCGTGTGGACACCGCAGCCATCGCCGTCGTTGAGCGGCCGCAAGGAGTTCCGTCCGGTGCGCTTCGAGTCGCCCACCCTGCCACGCCGCTATACGGCACTCCAGCACCAGCAACAGCAGCCGCAGCCGCAACAGCAGGAGCCACAGACGAAGAGCACGACGACGATACCACCCTGGTCGCATACAAACGGAGACCCCTACTCCGACTACACCGAAACGGACTGCTCCGCCCATTTTGGCCCAGTGGCGCCATCAGCCAGCGTCTCGGACAAGATCAGAAGTAGTACTTTCCACCCACAAACTCACACACACACAGACAGATACAGTTCTCCTTGTGCTAGTCCTTTCTCTGTCTCTCTTTCTCTTTGTGTCCCTTTCTCTCGTTCTGCCTTTCTAACGTTCGATTCTCGTTTATCGCCCCAAAAGCCTTTGAACGCTCGGCTTCCACCTCGGAGCTGCAGAGGCCGTTCGTGCGCCGCCAACTGTCGGACACTGGCCGCCCAGCCTATAGGCCCAATGAAGTCAGTAAGTATCCATGCAATTAGGGACCCGACCCAGAGTGTTGGCAAATGACCACAGGGAAAGCTCGCGCTCACGTTGCTGCACAACACTGACCTTTGTACACCCGTGTCTCCACCCGAAGACCCACAACCCAATCCGTCTCACATCCCCACAATGAACCAACCACTAACCGTTAATTAATCTGCGGTTTCCAGTCTACAAAGTCAAGCACGAGTATATGAGCGAACCGGAAACGGAGCACGATCGTCCGCGCAAAATGGCACAGTTAGGTCGGAGGCAGTACGATGGCATCGGTCCGGTGACCAACGATGGAATGCCCATCATACTCAGATCGGTAAAGGATACAGGGGGCCGGGAGGGAATTGCCACTTGATGTGGGTCCGATGTGAAATGTGATTTGTGATATGCAACTGTTTCCTTATCCACCCCCCCACATGCAGGAGGTCCAGGAGCCGCATCAGCATGAGTGGTACAAGCGCCTCTATCAGACCATACACAAGCAGAAGAACGGCGGTAAATGTCTCTCTCCCTCTCTCACCCTCTCATATTGGTCTGAAGCATTGTGGAACTCCATAAAATCCCTAAACCACCCTCCCCGAATCCTACGAATCCACAAATCCCTAACCCCCCTTTAATGCTTCAGTCCGGTCAATGATATATCCTCTTTGGTCTGTCTCTTCACAATATCTCATTCTCCCATTCGCTTTGCCTCAGACGATTTCGTGATACGCTACAAGTGTCCCAGAGGTGATTCTTTGATCTTTAAACTATATCAATTTCCGCCCTAAGTAGCCTTCCATTTGCCACTTACCCGCTTTGCTTGTACATACATTCTCGTAGATAGAGATAGAAGCCCAAGGCTGTGGTGCCTGCTCGAAGCAGAGAGCTTTACCCGTAGTGCATGCTTTATTATTATTTGGTTTATCTATATATTTTATTTCTCTCATACGAGTATCTCAGTTTCTAGCTCATTGACAATTTGGAAGCTTATACGTACTAAATTTCACGACTAACCAACCTAATCTAAGGCCTTACTCACCCACCAAACACCAATTCCACCCGCCAACCACAGCACAAACGCTAGCCTAACATCATGTCCGCCGCCAGTACACCATCCAAGCAATGTACGAGTAATAACCGCATTGGTAGAACCTGATACCGAAGATCCCCGCATCGAGCTGGCGACCCCGACTAATGTGTGTCTCTTCTATTCGCCCCTTGCGTACTCCTACAGCCCGTCCGTCGTACAAGAGCAACGGTTACGTATCAGAGCCCGAACCCAACTACGACTCCGACTACTCCACGGTGAGGTACCGCACACAGAATCCGCATCGAGTGCAGTCAGTCTCCTCGGCCGTCAATGTGCGAAACCTGAGCCAGGACGAGAAGTAGGTCACCCCAGCATTGAGTTTGCCATTGAAGTCGACTCAAAGAGTGTTCTTTCAGGTTGTATGGTACTATGCCAAATCCCATCAAGTCGGCTCAGAATTCGTATAAAAATCAGCCAGGTCGCATCGAGGACTACACCACAGGACATTCGTCTGTGTCCGAAAAGGAGAAGAAGGAGGTAAGTCCGAACCGAAGGCGAGCATTCATCAACATCACCACGGCTTGCCAATTTCGGTGCTAAGCTCACAATCATTTAACCTCTTTAACACCTTTAACCCACTGTAGACCAAGAGTCGGTAGTCGCTTAGTTGATCTACTTACGAGTATACCCGACACTTGTTGGTTTCTTGGAAATATATATTAATAGACTTACAGAAAATTAAGTAGAATTCACTTCGATGTAAAAATATATAGGTTAAATGTATTAAAAAATCTTTTAATACGTCCCACATTTAATCTAAACACAAAACACTTGCAGTTAAATTTAATATATTCAATGTGGGAAATATATTTATTTTAAATAGTAAAATACATATCTAATTTAAATATGAAATGTATTTCATTTAAATATATAATATATTTTCAAATCAATGTCAAAATTTAAGTGAAAAAAGATTCATCTTACAATTACCACTCTCGGAGAAAAACTATTGGTATATATTATAATTTCAGTCCTGTACATTTATACCTACATATGTATATTTTTCCTATTGAGTCGATGTATCAGCTTCTGTCTGTCTGTCTCTTGAGGTACCAAGCCTTTTGAAAATTTTCACTTAGAAAAGGGTGGAAATATCTTTCTTTTTCCACCTAGTGGTTGAATCTGGGACTTTATACTCGTAGATAAATTTGATAAAGTGTCGGGTATTTTAGGGTCGGATTACTCGACTATGGCGGTCTTAAATGTTTTCTCTGCTACAACCGAATATTTTGACACAGCACTGCCATGATAATACCTGACCCCAATTCATTCGCATACACTCATTCACTCATACAGTCATTCAGATCGCGTCAATATTCTAACTCACAGCAAATATATATTCTGTTCACAATTCTAGTGGTGGGACGAAGTGATGGACATCTTTAACGGGGTATGGCACTCTACTATATTTTTATTCCTAGATCGTATCTTAACTGCTGTTACCACAGTTTTAGTTTTAGCTTATAGTTTCCGATTGTTTTCCGTAATTTCAAGTCGATTTAAGCCCGTTCCCTTACTGCTTACTGTATCTCTCCTGTTTCCTGTCTAATTACCCGTCTAACCGATCCATGCAATACCATGCGAAAAGTGGCTTAGGGATCATACGCGCATACCGCGCATTATAATAGAGTTTGTCGATGATTTCGATGGAATCGGAGTAAGTTTCATTAGAGAGAGAGAGCGAGGCAGGATCATCGCCAAGGCACCTCAACTAATACAAATACCACAAATTTAAGCAAATCAAATCAACAAATCCACTCTGAACATCCCCTTAAACGCTGACTAATGTATTCTCTTTCCCTACGATAGAATCTAGAACAATCGAAGCTATCACCGCTCTACACAGAAGGAAACTTGTCCAGGTAAGTGTGCCCAAGGATACCCGAACATCCACCGCTCCTGACACTCCTCTTCCTCCTCCTCCTTCTGGTCGTTGCAGAGCTCTGGCCAAGGAATCCGGCTACACCAGCGACTCCAACCTAGTCTTCCGCAAGAAGGAGCTGCCAGTCAGCAGTCCCCTCAGCCCCGTGGAGCAGCGACAGGCCTACAAGAGTCTACAGGCAGGCGGAGAACCGCCCCTTTTCGGCTTCCGCAAGCCAGCGCCCGAGAGGCCCAGAGGTAAGTGAAGAGAGAGTCTTTCTTTTGATTTATAATCCCTGACATAAACATAAGACGCTGGCCTAATCCCCGGACTAATTCACTAATTAATCGTAATCCAAATGGTGTTGGTTCTATCGGGTCTATCGATCACTTTACTACTCTGTTGTTCCTGGTTTCGTTTCCTCTCTCACACACACACACACACACACACACACATACACATACACACACTGCTCTCACTTGAAGTTGTTCGTTCTGTCCTCAAGGGGCAAGGATGTAGGCACCAGTTGTACCACCAGAAAAGAAAAAGAAAAACAGCACCCACCAACAGGCACTGGCACCAACAATCCAGCAAAAAGCCGCCGCCTAATCCAAGTCTTGCCTTTCCCAAGAAATTGTGGAGGAATTCGAATTCATACAGATCACTCCGACCCTCACCAAGATACGTGTGAGCACCAAGGAGCTTGAAGAGGACGAGTACGAGCCCACTGTGCCCAGTCCAGTAATAACACAACCGCCACCACCTCCTCCCCCTCCACCACCGCCGCCGCCGCCGCCACTGCCAGCCCCAGCAACAAGTCACAAGAGAAGCAACCCCAAGATGTTCTCGCAGCTGTCGAAGAATCTGCCCTCGTTCATTCCGCTGAGCAAGAAGCAGCAGCTGCAGCAGGATCAGGCACCTGCCCCGATGCCACCCAACCGCAGGTCCTCCTGCACCAAGAGCACGGTGCGTGTGTCGAGCTCCACCAAGTCCCGTCACGAGCAGTGCTTCCAGCCTCCGGGCGGAGGAACCATCACCCTGAGGAAGGTCGCCTCGTCGACGAGCACTCGTCGCGAACCCATCTCCCGGTCCAAGAGCGCGGGTGCCGTATCCACCTTGCTGGCCACCCTCACGGCCACCAAGGAGACGCGCCACAAGGACGGCGGCGCATGTCGCGTCACCCGCGTCCAGCAGCAGTCTCGTCTCCGTTCCGTGAGTCCCAGTCGCCGTCCGACCGGCCGTCTTTTGGCCCTGCGACAATCGAGTCGCAGTCCGGTGGCCTTCGGCCGGAGCATCTCCAAGGAGCGCAGCTTTGCCGAGGAGAAGAAGCGGCTGGAGAACACGCTGCCCCCCAGCCGGACCAACTTTGAGGCCAGCACCAACATCCTGCGGGACCCCTTCCTCAAGTCCCCCCAGGAGGTGCGCGAGGCGGTGCGCTCCTATGCCACCTGCAAGGCGCAGCACACGCGCAGCAAATCCCTTCCCAGACTGCGCCAGAGCACCGTGAGCACCACCACCCGACAGACGATGTGCTTCCCCCAGGTGCGCCCCCAGACCCTCATCGACTGCGGTCGCTCTCTGCGAAAGGTGCTGCCCAAGAATCAGGCGAAGAACGCCTCCAACGACAGCCTGCCGCGCAGCAACTCCACCTTCTCCATCGACTCGATGGTGCGCCAGGAGTACGTGCCGATTGCCCCGCCCAAGATCTATGTGGGCAAGGCGAAGCCCAGCCCCAAGTCCAAGTCGCTGGTCCCGCTGCAGAGCAGCCGCAGCGAGGGTCATGTGCCGCGCAAGCGTCAGGTAGGAAAACCACCCGCCTCCAGCAACAGCAAGGCGAAGCATCCTCCAGTGTCCGTGCAGTCGTACAGCGATACGGTGCGCGAGAAGACCAACTTCTGGAACGACTACAACGCCAAGCAGTCCGTCTCCATGTCCATGTCCATGTCCCTGCCTCAGCAGACCGCGTCCAGTGCCACGGAGTACAAGTACTGTTCCCTGGAGCCGGAGGATGTCTACGACTATGCTGGGACCGTGCAGGATCAGGCCCCAAGCAGCTGCATCGAGGATCTGGTGTGGAAGTACGAGAACAAGGATCGTGATCGCGATCGCCATGCCAAGCCATGCCAGACGGTCACGGACATTGCCCGGCCTCAGTCGCCCCAGCCGGACTACGAGAAGTCCCTGGAGCGTCGTTTCTCGCCCACACGGGAGGTTCGCGTGCCCCAGAACCAGAGGGAGGTGCGCTCCCCCTCGCGTCGTCGCATCGATAGCCTGAGATCGAGCCAGCGGCAGGACAGGGAACAGGCCATCGCGCGGGCCAGCAGCCTGAGCAGCGCCGATGATCGCAGCAAGCGGTCTGCCGCGGCTCCGGGAACTCTCTACCAGTGCGGAGATCTGGCCCACAGCGCCACATCCTTGACGTATCTGGAGCGGCACAGTCCCAGCTGCCGGTACCGCAACAACTGCGAGCGTTTTACGGATCTGAACCGATTCTACAGCACCCTGGAGCGGGTGGGCCAGCTGGAGAGGGCCACGTCCTCGAGCAGCTTCCATCCCCTGCGCAAGGATGCGGAGTTGCTGGCCTTTGACGAGTGGCGCAAGGTGCGGCTGCACGAGCGGGCCGAGAAGGAGCTGCAGTATCTGGTGGGCAAGCTGCAGCACGACCAGCGGGAGCGTGACCTGCACTTCCGCTCCAAGGACGTGGGCGAAATCAAGTGGCGTCAGGAGACGGAGCAGGCCCTCAGTGCCAAGAAGAAGTCCGTGGAGGATCTGCGCGAGAACTTTGAGCAGCTGAATCTCTTCAGGCAGCACCATCAGGACTGCCAGCTGCAGCCGGTGCAGCGCCAATGGCGACGAAACACTGTGGCGGATCTGGCGAGCAGCCTGGAGCATCGAGCAGCGATGGTAACAGACGCCACCACTGAGTTGGACCGTCACCTGGGCAACGACCTGGTCAGCACTCTGTCCAAGGATCAGATCAAGAAGATCACCCAGCAGCTGAACGAGATCTATGCGGGCAACCGCAAGGGCGCCGCAGCCGTCGACGAGCAGTACGTGGTGACCGTGGAGAAGGGCTCGAAGCCGGTCGCGGGCGCCCATGCCAACACATTGAAGGTGCGCTGCAATTCGAACATCTCCAAGGAGCAGCTGATCGGACCGGTTCTGCGCAAGCGCGAGGAGCATCAGCAGCCGCAGACTCTGCCACGCCCCACGCGCAGTCAGTCGCCCGTGGTGGTGGCCAGGGAGACGCGCGGGGCCATTGCGGCCAAGAATGCCGAACTCACGCTGACCAGGGCCCCCGATGTGCCGCCCCGGCCGAAGCCCAGCGAGGTCAAGGGCCAGGCCAAGACTTGTGCTGCCCCGCCGAAAGTGGAGCAGGAGCCCGCCGAGAATATCAACCAGAAGATACAGTACTTCGAGGACCGCCAGTTCGAGGAGCCGGCCAAGACCATCTACCACGCTCGCGAGGACTCCTCGCCCGACGAGGCCGAGGTGATGCGCCTCATCGAGCACAACATGCAGGCGCACCAGAAGGCCAGAAACACTCAGGTGCTGACCCACACGGAGCTGAGCAACTCGCTGACGGATCTGAGCGGCGTTTACGGGGAGCGACCTGCAGCACGGGTAAATTTTCACTTGCACAGCCCCCCGCTGCGGCCACCCGACGACCCGGCAGAGGCAGAGCTTCTCAGCTTCGAGAATGGTTCGCCCGGGCCAGGAGATGCCAGCCTTGAGCTGTACGACAGCCAGTCGTACTACCGCTCGCGCAGCCTCTCGCCCCAGTCGCAGGTGTCGGCCTGCTCGAGCTCCTACCTGCAGCGGGTCTACACCGGCGAGGTGCAGAAGATGCGACAGCACTTCGAGGGCATCCACCGGGTGGCGGAGACGGAGCAGCAGTCCAACGAACAGTGCAGCGATTTTTTTGGGCTTAGCCCGCTGCGGAAGGCGCGCAGCGATCCCGAATTTGGTGCGGGATCAAAAGACGCCTCGGGCACCGCTACGGAGGCGGAGCCGCAGAAGGAATCATCGCTTGCGCCTGGAAAACAACACCTGGCAGACGACGTCAGTCGAATGACGACCCACAAGTTTGACCAACGCGGGGCCACACCCTCCCCTGAACGCGGTCGAAGGCGTCAGCGCAGTGCCCAGGATCGACTCATGCCGCACATCGATGTCATCAGCAAGACGGCGGCGCTCAAACGGGAGCTCCAGCGGCAGCCCAAGCCGGCTCGGAGCCCTCTGCGCAGCCTCAGCAGCAGCAGCAACTACATCGAGCGCCTGCGCATGCGCTACGAGTCGCCAGACCCCGCTGAGTCGCAAACGCGAACAATCAGCTATCTCTCCACGTCGCATCCGGATCTGAGGGACGTGCACGACATCTCGCCCCACCTATGTGCCGACTGGGTGGCCCACAAACACCCCCAGCCCACAGACCAGCCACGGCTGAGGCTGCCAAAGGCTCTGCCCAAGAAGCCCCAACGGGTGGTCCCACGCGCCAGCTCCACCTCGCCGCCCCGTCCGCCCAAGTCGCCGCGTCACCAGCAGAGCTGCCTGCTGACCAGCTCCCTGCGCGGCGACTATGACGACATCTTTGCCAATCAGAAATTCGATCCGAGGATGCATCGCCCCAAGGCACGCTATGTGCCCGATGGCGCTGAGCCGACGAGGAGCGCCACCGGCGCTGCTACTGGGGGTGCCACCTTGGAGCGCCTCAAGAAGACGATGGCGGTAACGTTCAAAGGTGATTAACTGGTGATTAGCGAACAACTTCCAGGGAGCAGTGGGTCTTGTGTGGGTTGGGTCTGGGAACTCTAACTAGGACAACTTTTACGCTCGGCTATGCTTCGGTTGTCGGCTAATCTCGTAGAGCTGCTGCTTTTGGTACCGCTTTAGGCTATAGGGTCTCCTCCCATTGGCTGTAACTATTCGAAATTATCTATCCCTGACTTTTATTTGTTATATCTGTAATCGTTGGCGCAGATCCCGACTCGAACGCGCCCCCCATACCCCCACAGCCGCCAATCAAGGGCCTCTACAGCTCCACCTACGACCTACCGTACAGCACTGACACTATCGATGGCTCAGGTGAGTGATGAAGTTGTTGTCGAGACCCCAGGTCGTCGGGGTCCGTCACGCCTATTACCCGCCAAAGTTTTTCAGATGTGCTACAAAATATGAATGCGGTTTGTTTGGGGGTACTTTTTTTTAAGTAACGGCTATACGGATGGATTTTACTGCACCTTTTGCAATCGATTATTAATCGCTGTGTCGATTAGTCGATCTTGCTCTATTTTCATTATTCGTCCTTCAATCAGCTTATATTAAAGGCGCAGCTCAAAAGACAAAGGTGGCACAGCTACTGCACATAAAAAGGAATTTTTTATGAACAATTTGCGAAGCGTTCTAAAACTTATGTTAAGAGTGTACAGAATATTGTTATTAAACTTTGGGAGAAATTTTCTTTACAAAATTAGAGCAGAAAACTGATCAGTGCTGATGAACAGCCAAAAGTTTTAGGTGCACAAAAACATCGTGTGGTTTTTTTTCGGTAAATTCCTTAAACATTATGTGGTATTTCGCGTAAAGTTTATTCAAATCTTAAATGGAATCTTTAATATTGAATTAGAATTAGGAAAATTAGGAAATCAATCCGAGTTATGCTCCTTGAAATGAAAAGTACGTACGGGTATATATCTAGAGATCTTCCACGTCCTTTTGTCTATCTGTATATTTGTGCCACATGCCACAACATAAACTTAAAGGAGTTCCCTTTACTGCTCAATAAAAACCCTGTTAGGTCACCAGCTACGCCCCTGCTGCTGTCGCGCACTGCCATCAATGACCTTTGGAAAACTAAAAGCTTTTTACTACCGCAGCAGCGGACAACGAATTTCCGCAATTGGTGCAATTTCGCTTTGAAGGCGCGCCGGACATTAGTTGGGCCAAATTAATCGATATGTCCATTGAAAATGCCGGCCACGCTGACGCTGAAGCGACGCTGAAACTGACGGAGCTGACCTGCTTATCAAGCACTCGGCACCAAAAGGCACCTGAACAACCACCACTGCCACCACCACCACCCCGTTGTGTAGGTAAGGGAGCCACCCTGCGCAAGCTCACCTTGCCGGCGGCGGCCACGTTGCCATGGCCAAGACAGTGCGTCAACAAAACAAACCCCGCGTGTACTCTCCAGTGGAATACCTGGAATACCTGTCGTGGTCGTTAGTTAGTTTCAATTTTCCGTGCCAAAACGTGAGAGTCGCGCAACGCTCAGCCTTTGGCCGGCCTAACAGCATGCATGCATAGATGCCTCGTGTCGGGATTATGCAACTGTGAGAGGACTGTCTCCCCCGTTCCCAAACAATGATACATCAAACGTTGGCGCCGCGTCGCAGCAGCACCTACTCCAGCCAGCATGGCCAGAACCTCCATGGCAACGGCAACAACAACGTCCACGTGAGGAGGAGCCGTCCCACTCAGAGTGTCCACTGGCGGCAGTCGCATCCCAGCCAGAAGCTGCATCGCAGCTGCAATGATTTAGAGCTGACAGATGACAGGCTGTCCCAGCCGCAGCAGACCCATCAGCAGAGCTGGTGGCGCAGCCCCGAAGCCAATCAGAATCCCTGGCTGCGGCCGCAGAGCAGTGGGGCAGACAGCAACTCATGCAACAACCTCAACAACAACAGCAACAACAAGGTCAGGCATCCGGCGTCGGGTAGCAGCTGCGACATTGCCAATTGCGGAAAAATCCTTTGGATACATCGTGGGGGCTATGACTACTCCGGCCCCGCACCCATGGTGCCGCCACACCCATACCCGCATCAGCAGTCTAATGGGGTAGTGGGAGAGGTGTCCTATCACATAGTGGGTCTGCCGCACACCCCTCTGCCGGACCAGCGACGGGCGTACTTGGCCAATCGACATGCAATCGGAGCTTCTATTCCTCTGCTCGCGTGGCAGCAGCAGCACCAGCAGCAACATCAGCAGCAGCAGCAGTGGCATGGCAGTTAGTATTAGACTTCAAGCAAATGTGAAAGAAGGAAAAGTGATCAATCGACCCCCTCCTCTCCCCTCCCATCTCACTGGGCACTTTCTCATTTGATTAAGCGGGCAAACGACCTTCCTGTTTTGCACTTTCTCACGGCTTTTCTTTTGCAAAAACCAAAAAAAACTCGTTATCAGCCTTACTCTAAGAGATTGTGAGAGCCAACGAGTGAGAGAGAGCGTTTGAGATAAAGCTTGGCACTTGCTCTCACGTTCCGAACGAACTCTTTGATAAAAGCTTCGTGCCGGTAACTGTGAGCAAAAGCTTTTCTTCAAGATCAAATACAGTGGTTTCCATGTGATAGAAAAAATAAGACTTCAGGGAAAACTTCTTTTGGTGGACAAACTCAGCACAGACAGATATTTCGGAATTTCATAAAATTCAAAGATTAAAGGTCTTTATTTGAACTACAAATCCACATATCAATGAACTCAATCTTTCAGTTCTGAAAGGTACCATTACATACCAGAAAATAATCTTTCTTGGTAAAGTTGATGTCCAGCAATCAAAGACCGACGCATTCTTGGTCAGCCTGGTCCCAGTGTTCACACACCCCGAAACAACAATTAAACGTGACTTTCGTACAACGGAACTCGTAGTACGCGACCGTTGATATCGCCCCACGTTACTCTTACTCTCCCAGAGACAAAAGTCTTTGACGTCGGCGCCGGAGCCCCCCCTTCCCTCCTCGACACTGAGTCAGAGCCCCATTCAGTTTGGGTTTCGGTTTCGATTTCGGTTTCAGTTGAGCACAAAGCGTGCTACGGTGTAGTTGGGGTCTTGGGTAGGTACGAAGCTGCCCCTTTCTCTCTTTCGCGGTCTCTCTCTCGCTTTGTTGGTGGGAGTGGGGATCAAGTGGAGCGTGAATCTCGTGCTTGTTGCTGTTCGTTCTTCTCTGCTTTATCAGACAATTGCCTCTCAGCCTTCGATCCGGCGGTCTGGTTCTGATTCTCATTGATTGTTGTGACTAATAAGCGGCAAATAGACAAATACGAAAGAGGGAAAAACAACAGAAAACCATTTAAAAAGTTAATTGAGCGTGAAAGGAAGGAAAAGCCTTAAAGGCCCCCGACTAGTGTGTGTGTGTGTGTGTGAGTGGACTTCCCCAGTTAAAGATGAAAATCGGCAACGCTTTCAAACGCTTTCGAACGCTGGCAAAAATGCGCCATAACAAATCAGTGAAAGTGAAAATCTCTCAAGTGTCAATTAAATCTCTTTTTACGCCTCATACACAACACGTACTGCAACACTACATAGTATTGTATGTGTCTGTACGAGTACAAAACTATTCCTAATTGTTAAGCTTGCTACGAGGCGGGGTATTTGTTGCACTAACATTTGTACAGCTGCCCAGCCCTAGCCCCAGTCCCAAGACCAGACCGCACCTCTCTGCGCAAGGTTTTCCCCCATCAAGGGATTTCCTTGAACCGGGTCAATTGATGGATGCGTAGTATTCCATCTTTATCAATTTGCAGCGCAGTTCCATTAATGCATCAATTGAATCGAATGTATCTGAGGCGAACTTTTCCACTTACGTACATACAGACATACATATAGATATTCTTATGTATAAGCGATTCATATGCAAATGAGGATGAGTCTTATCTCGAGGCTAAGTGGCTTAGCACAGCTCTAAAACGTTTCGGTTACTAGTCGTATGGGTGCGGAGTCCGAGGCTAGCTCCCTTGCCCCCCGGAGACCCATTCCATTCAGTATCCAATTAACTGATTATTTTGCTAACGAGCATTAACTTCAATTGCAGCTCATTTTCAATGGTGAAGCAAGAGAAGCTTAATTCAATTTGAGATTGTGACACGTCACGTCTCCTCTCTGCACCCCTTCCACCCATTATAGGGGGCGGGTTATCTCTCCCAGCTGCTTAGCTGGAGAGGTGGGGGATAATGGGCGGTGGGGGGGCGACTGTTTATTTGCTTACCAATTGGCAGACAGATACAAACCTCGTCGCGACTCAGATAAGCCACGGGTTTCGTAACAGAAGCAGCAGCAGCAACGACAGCCACAACGACAACGACAACGACAACGACAACTATGACAACGATTTGCGGTTAGATCGTCTTACGATTCGGTTTGCTATTTTGAAAATAAACAAGTACTACTCGCAGAGGACTATTGGAGTCTTACGTGAATGATATGCCTAGCTGGAATTCAAGCATAGTTATCAATCGGAAATGTCAACAGCCTTCTATCTTAGCTGGCAACTAGTTTTGTTATTGTGAGCAAATCAAATGACGGGGGTATAGCATAGCATAGGCTATGATAGAGGGACCAACGCCCTTTGGGTTAATGCCGCAGATCCAGCTTCAGCTTCAGCCACAGCCTGAACACCCTTTTGTCGATCTTGCATCTCACACAGAATCTCCCAATCGTTATTATGACACAGACGTCAACATTCACTTCAAGACACCAATAAGGCATGAGCAGAAGCAGCACATACCGGAGGAGGAACTAGCCACACGCCAAGCGGAGCATATGCAGAAGCTGTACCACGAGGAGCGACGCCGCAAGTATCTACAGGAGCTGCAGGACATGAACTCTCGACGCCACACGGACAACTTCACGCCCTCGCAGAAGTCCCCGATCGCCCTAAACCGCTACGATGACTTCCCCACCGACGTGACGCTCAAGTCGCTGGTGGGTCCCAAAACCGTTGCCCGGGCCCTCTACAACTTCCAGGGACAGAGCTCCAAGTAAGTTCTTCAGTTGCACTCCGGTGGATCCAGTAGTTTTTAATGAATGGATTTTTGCAGAGAGCTCTCCTTCCGCAAGGGCGACACCATCTACATAAGGCGGCAGATCGATCCCAATTGGTATGAGGGTGAGCATAATGCGATGATCGGGTTGCTGCCAGCGAGCTATGTGGAGGTACGTGTCTCTTATCAACAATCGATTGCCACGCCTCTAAGCCTCTTTTCTTTCCCTTCCCTTTCCACAGATTGTTAGCCGCGATGGCGCCCGCACTCCGTCCAAGCGGCCATCGGAGGGCCAGGCTCGTGCCAAATACAATTTCCAGGCCCAGTCGGGCGTAGAGCTGTCTCTGAACAAGGGAGAGCTGGTCACGCTGACGCGTAGGGTGGATGGAAACTGGTTCGAGGGCAAGATCGCCAACAGGAAGGGCATATTCCCAGTGTCCTATGTGGAGGTGAGTCATACCTCTGAGAGGTACACCTCTAGCCAAGATCTGACCCCACTTCCTCACTCAGGTGCTCACGGACATTGGAGCCGAGGATATCGCGGCCAGAACGACGACCGTGATCAGCAGCCAGAGCACCACAAATCTGCGGCCCAATCTGGATGTGCTGCGCACAAACATCAACAATGAGTTCAACACGCTGACCCAGAACGGAGCCCAGCCCGTGAATGGAATCCTGAAAGAAACGCGGACGCTGCACAAGACGGACGCACTCCACGTGGACACCAGCTCCGAGCCACTGGCGTGAGTGACCCTCAGGACTGACCTCTTGCCTAGATCTGCTAATCCAAGATGCTCCGTTTCCCTTTCTCCCTTTCAGCTATCGCGCCCTGTACAAGTACCGGCCACAGAACTCCGATGAACTGGAGCTGCTGGAGGGGGATCTGGTGCACGTGCTGGAGAAGTGCGACGACGGATGGTTCGTGGGCACCTCGCAGCGCACCGGCTGCTTTGGCACATTCCCCGGCAACTATGTGGAACGCGCCTAAGGCGGAGCCATTGAGCCATCGAGCCATCCTGGCAGGACAGGTGTGGGACACCCGAAAACGAGTACCAAAATACCCAAAAAATCGTTCACCTCTAATCTTAATGAATTTGTAGTCTAATACTGAGAATAATGTGAAATAACCGAGGCCCTACCCGGCCAGGCCAGGCCAGTGCAGCTGGAAACAGGACACAGGCAGTTATAAGATTAATTCTGATTTGATTTAACTGGATTACTTTATGTTGTTGTTGAATTCTTCTTATTCCCCTAATTCTGTTCTGCTGCTTGCGTTGCCGTAACGTAAATCTATTTATTTATTTTTAAACAGAGCATTAATTTTATCAATGTTGGAATTATGTTTATTTATACTCGCAAAAGTGAGCACAGCACACACTTTTAACCAGAAGTTTGCCCCAAACACCACCACCACAACCACCTCCCCACAATCCCGATATCAAAGAGAACTAAATTAAGATCATACATACATATACTATATACTTTTGTTGTTTACCTACTAATTTTAACTAGTCACAGCTAATTTCCAAAAAGAAAACCAATACACAATGATGGAGAACCGTTGAACAAAAAAAGTGCCTTAAAATTGCAATTTTAATGACTAAAAAATAAATTAAATTAAACAAAAGAAAGATGGAAAATAAAACAAAGAAAAGCTGATAAGTGCTATGAACCAAGTGCCTCTGTTGAGTCGATGAAAATGAGTTAAATACTCATTCTACGAGATCGTAAAACCATAATATTCTCAAGCCGATCCAACAGAAAAAAAATCATTTTTTAATCATTACAAACGAGCGTTTATTACACAGACACTGTTGCAAACGTATTTAGTAAATAAATAAATAAAAAAAAACCAACCGACAACCATCCGAGTTATCCCTTTTCTATGCTCTATCTAACTATTGCAGACTCAGTTAATTTTTAAAGGCTGGTCGATTCTAATTAAAGGTTATCTGAGCTCTGGGTCCTGTGGCCTTTCGGTCCAACCACTGCCATGGCTCTCTTCCTGCGTTCCACGCTGTTTTCTCCGCCTTTCCAGATCGTTCGCCGTCGGTACATCCAGTGCAGGTAATTCTGCCGTAGCTCCTCGTCCTCTCGGGATGTCCAAGAGATGACTCCTGGCTAAACTGTGGCAGTCACTTGCTGTCCTGATGCGAGCCATAGCCATGATGCCGCTGCTGTGTCGCTGAGTCGACAATGTGGTGTCCCGCCCGGTACAACAGGGAACAGTGGTCGACGGCGGAATTGTTGGTTCACGACCACGGAAAATAATGTCAGCCCATAAAACCCATCGTATCCCAGCAGGACAGAAGCGCACGCCTTGCTAAATCCAAACCTAACAAGCCATCGTCATCCTTCGACCTGGCCATCGACAACTATCTCAAGGACTTTGGCTGTGGCAACCAAGGGAGGAGCTACGTGGGCTACTAGACTCTAGATATATGTCGTTATTATTAGGTTTAAGGATATATGCGTCAATATATTTATATAGTAGATACAAATGTATTCAACTTGTTTATTTATTAATACTAAGCTAAGTTATGATGATTAAAACTATTGAAAAATCATCCTTGCTGTATCCTGTATGGGGGGAACTATCCCGATTACAAAAAGGCGTGGCACTCCCAGATCGGTTCTCAAATATCGGAGAAAACTAAATATTTTAGAATGGGGAATTTGTCCTTGATCCTTCATAAGGACTCCATTAAATCAGGGACATTTTTTTGATCACAGGAAGCCGTCGCACGTCCCGATCGGGCCACGAATAGCCGAGAAAACTTAATATGTATGGTTGGGGTTGTTGGAGTCCTTACCGAAGGACCAAGGACTTTTTTCTGATTACTGCGAGCTATGGCACGCCCCGATCGGGCCACAAATAAGGGAGAAAATACGATTTGTATATCTGGAAAAAATGTCCTGCATCCTTGGTCCTTGATAAGGAATACTTTCAACTTGCGATCGATCAAATGGCCAAAATCAAGAATTTCAGATCTGGGATACCAGGCGAACAGAAATCAGCAGAAGGTCGGTGGTTTTTTTTTAAATTACTTTTAATTTAATTTTGGTGTAACGGCGGGCCATTTTGGGCGGCCAAAGAAAGTATGAAAAAACGTAAAGACAAAATTAAAAGGAATTTTAAAAAACCAGCCACCTTCTGCTGATTTCTGTTCGCCTGGTATCCCAGATCTGAAATTCTTGATTTTGGCCATTTGAGCGGTCGCAAGTTGAAAGTTGTTGCTGTACAACAACAAAAATTTCTTGTACAACAATTGACAACAATTTTTTTTTGTTTTATCCGTTATTTGTCTCCCGTTCCAGGCTTTCGACGGCTTCCCGTGCTCGGAATAGCTTCCTTGAGCTTATGTATTCCTTATCAAGGACCAAGGATGCAGGACATTCTCTCCAGATATACAAATCGTATTTTCTCCCTTATTTGTGGCCCGATCGGGGCGTGCCATAGCTCGCAGTAATCAGAAAAAAGTCCTTGGTCCTTCGGTAAGGACTCCAACAACCCCAACCATACATATTAAGTTTTCTCGGCTATTCGTGGCCCGATCGGGACGTGCGACGGCTTCCTGTGATCAAAAAAATGTCCCTGATTTAATGGAGTCCTTATGAAGGATCAAGGACAAATTCCCCATTCTAAAATATTTAGTTTTCTCCGATATTTGAGAACCGATCTGGGAGTGCCACGCCTTTTTGTAATCGGGATAGTTCCCCCCATACAGGATACAGCAAGGATGATTTTTCAATAGTTTTAATCATCATAACTTAGCTTAGTATTAATAAATAAACAAGTTGAATACATTTGTATCTACTATATAAATATATTGACGCATATATCCTTAAACCTAATAATAACGACATATATCTAGAGTCTAGTAGCCCACGTAGCTCCTCCCTTGGTTGCCACAGCCAAAGTCCTTGAGATAGTTGTCGATGGCCAGGTCGAAGGATGACGATGGCTTGTTAGGTTTGGATTTAGCAAGGCGTGCGCTTCTGTCCTGCTGGGATACGATGGGTTTTATGGGCTGACATTATTTTCCGTGGTCGTGAACCAACAATTCCGCCGTCGACCACTGTTCCCTGTTGTACCGGGCGGGACACCACATTGTCGACTCAGCGACACAGCAGCGGCATCATGGCTATGGCTCGCATCAGGACAGCAAGTGACTGTCACAGCCCAGCCAGGAGTCATCCCTTGGACATCCCGAGAGGACGAGGAGCTACGGCGGAATTACCTGCAGTGGATGTACCGACGGCGAACGATCTGGAAAGGCAGAGAAAACAGCCTGGAACACAATGGAGAGGGCCATAGGACCACAGCCCCGCGGGACAGGAATCATGTTCTTCTGCGACATGTTCGGTCTATGAACCGGCACGGCACATATATATACTACACTGATCCAATGCAAGTGTGCAAGCATTATCCGGGGTATATCTAACAAAATTTCAGAGTATATACAATAAATATATTCTTGATTTGGGTTACATTTAACAGGCCACAGAATTATACCACCTGATGACAGAGGTTTACTCACTATTTCCTTAAGATTAGTTTAACAGTAGCTCAGTAAATACTTCCACCATTTTTCCTGCTAGAGTTACCTTTCAATCACGTTTGGGCCAACTTCCGTTTTCGCTCCTGCTTGAGCTCTCGCTTGACAGCCCGCTGTTCCAGTTCCTCGGTGTACTCTGCATACATGGCCAGAAGCGCGGGATAGAGCTTGTGGTACTCCTGGAGGTCTTCCAGAGTCACCTGCATGTTGTCGAAGGCGATGGCCACCTGTTGCATGTCCTCCACGCTGGGTAGTCGCGGGCACTTGGCGTAGCGCTGCGAGAAATGGGTGAGGATTGTGTGCTTGGCTCCCATGTTGCGTCCCTGCTGGATGGCCTGGGAGATGGTGCTGTGCGTCTTGATGCGCGCCTCCTCCTCCAGGTCGTCCTCCATGGTGGCCTCGTGAATGAGAACTGTAGAGTTGCGCCCCAGCTCAATCAGGTCCAGGCAAGGCATGGTGTCGCCGCTGTAGGTGATCTTGACGGGCTCGCCATCGTGATGCGCCTTCAGGGTGAGGCTCACGCCAAAGGAGTTGGTACAGTGCCTGACCAGGCAGGTGGCAATGGCAGTTATGCCCAATGGTTCCACTGCCTCTCCAGTCAGGGGACCCGCCAAGAGATCTCCATTGCCCACCAAAGTGTACGCATCCTCAATCTCCTCGATCTGGCGGTGGTAAAACTCCAGCCATGGCTCGATCTGGCGCGGCGCAAGTAGGAGAAGCGGAGTTGCCTTCGGGGCCAGCTGTCTGCGCTCCCTTAGCAGTCCAATCAATCCAATGTGATGATCCGCGTGCAGGTGGGACACGTACACAGCCTGCAGCTGGCGGAGTACCTCTACGGCCCTAGCGCTGCCGTATAGGCGCACAATCTGTCCATAGGTTCCCTCGCCGCAGTCGAGCAACATGAAGGCCTCCGCCGCAGTCTGGATCAGAATTGAGCTGACGTTGCGCGTCTTGTTGGGAATGCAGGAGCCCGTGCCCAGGAAGATGATCCTTGGGTAGCTGCTGGCGGCGGACGATGGGAAGTCGGTTTCCGCCTTTAGCTTAGCCAGCAGCTCCGTAAAGCCGGGCACGGCATGAGTCTCCTTGACGTACTCCTCTGGTGTAAGCTTGGCCGCCAGGGTTTGGTCCAGTCCTGTTCGAAATACAATGAGATAGAAATAACGAATATATCTGCAGTGGTACTCACCCTTTTTGGGACGCAGATGGAAGCTCGTCATAGACACCACGCCCTGCTCCGTTTCTGTGCTTGCATCAACCCCGCCTTCGGGATCTGCCTCATCCAGCTTGGTTTTCTTCAGGTTCAGGCTAAGATTCTGACTCTGGCAGGGGAACTGCTCTCCCAGGAGGGGAAATATCCGAGGAGCCAGCTGGTGCAGCTGATGCTGGATACGGTGGGCGGCCGCATAGCCGGAGAATTGATTGTGCGGGGAACTCAGGTAGATATGCTGCGTGCCTGGCGAGAAATGGTTTCGCAGAAATTTCTGATATTTCTGGCAGGTGGAGACTTCGTGCGGCGTAAAGTGCACCACCAAGCACACCTCAGTGAGCTGCTGTTCGCCCAGATCTTTGATGGTCTTGGCATGGGAAAGCAGACCGGGAAGGTAATCCTCGCAGGGCACATCCAGGAACACAAAAGAGAGCGCCGTTTCGCCAGGCTCCGTGACATCCACGGATCGAACTATCTGGCCATCGGGGAGTGTGATGTCCTGGCCGTTCTTTAGCTGCCCCAGTAGCGGGCCTGGCGGGACGCCCTTCTCAACACACTTGACCAAGTTGAGGGCACCCGGACGAGGTTTCAGCTGGCAGATGTAGTTGATTACGGTCTTCTCAGGGTTCTCCACGCTATCCAGCGGCAGGGACGTCACCTTCAGAATGGAGTCCTCAAAGCAGCTGCCGGCGGTGCAGTCGACCGTCTGCATTTGAAGATTCTTGAGCACGACGAAGCGCCGCATCGACTGCAGCATAGTGGAGAGGTGCGACGGCCCGTGCAGGCCCACACTACGCACGCCGGCATCCTGAATCGTTAGCGCCAGGCCAGGTAGACCGCCCACAGCCGCCCACGTGTTGCGTGTCACGAAGATCTGCTCCAGGCGCGACAGCCGCGTCTTGTACTCGTGGGCCAGCCGCTGGGTGCCTTCGCCGCAGTTGAACAGGTAGCGGGACTGGTCCGTGAACAGATAGACGGCACTGGGGGAACCGTTGGCCCCGGCGCCGAGCACCTGAAGGTTCACCGTGCCGGGCACCACCGAAGCCAGCTTCTTGCGCAGCACATTCGGTTCTCGCTCGTACTTGGGGCCCGTCAACGGATCCGTGGCCGAGGCAATGGCGGCCACAGAGCTGCTCATCTTCAGATTTCGTAGTGTTCCATAAAGCGGGGCCCTCGCTAATTTCAACAAAATCATTCGTATTTCGTTCGACGCGGAACTGACTTTGGTCGCGTGTTGGGCCGATGAACAGCTGTTCAGATCCTCTGAAATATACCGTAAATATACTGACGAATTCAAGTTCTATTCTCCATATTCCTCGTTTTTGATATTCCGTCTATTATTACTCGCTAGATAGAACTCTTAGTCCGGCCCACATAATTTAATCCCATTGATGAACAAATTTGCAACAGGACTAACTACTTTTAAGTACTCCCTTTTATTGTATTTTGACTAAAACAGCCGCTATTGTGTCATGTCATTGAAGACTTGTTGCTTGTCAACCGGCCTATTTTGTAAATTTAATACGATGAATTGTTTAAAACTTAATTAATATAGAAACCAATTCTTGGTCTCTGTAAAGAGCGAAATTTCTAATTCCTGCGTATGGAAGTTTCTACAGTAGTAGTTTAATTGTATTATTTTTAAGAAATATATAAAAAATATATTTAAACGGTAACAAAGAACATTTTTTTTTTCTACATGGCACCTACACAGTGATGATTTCGTCCCTCAGACACCTGGCGAAAAAAAAGTGATCTACAACTTTTTACAGTAATGCTATAGCCATTTCTACATGATTTTTACATGAATTCAATTTACGCGCACTCGCTGCAGCCCTGGCAATCATGTGGATCAACACTGAAGTGTTGGTATTATCAGTCGAATAGAGAGCTGCCACACTAATCTCCACGTGCGTTTGTTTGGCCTGTGCCGCTAAATTTATTCGAATTTCTTAAAAAAAGTAACTGGAAAACCCCGCCTGGAAATGGTATTCTTCACGTGCAACATATGCGGCGAGTCCGTGAAGAAGCCATCGGTGGAGAAGCACTACCAGACTCGGTGCCGCGGAAACGAGAAGAACGTTTCCTGCATGGACTGCCTCAAAGACTTTTACGGCGAGGAGTACGTTGCCCACACGAAGTGCATCTCAGAGGCCCAGAAGTATGCCAACCAAAGTCAGAGCTTTGTGGTCAAGGAGTCGCGGAACAAGAATGCCCAAAAGCAGGAGAGCTGGATGGACATCATTCGCGCCATACTCGACAGCAGCGAATACAACCTGACGCCGGCCCTGCGCACGGCCTTCCAGCGGCTGCAGAGCGTCGACAATGTTCCCCGGAAGAGGGCCAAGTTCGAAAACTTTGTGGGCAACTGCATGCGCATGCCCCGACAGCAGGCCACCCAGGTGTGGGACATACTCGAGAAGGAGCTCAACAAGATGAAGGAGGCCAAGCAGGAGCAGCTGGCCCAGGCCAAAGCAGCCAGGGAGGCGGCTCAGAATGGCAAGGCCGAAAAGAAGGACGAAAAGGAGCAGCTAGAGACGGACGCTCCTCCCAAGAAAAAGTCAAAGGTGGCAGCTGATGCAGAAGTAGAAGCCGCTCCTGAGGAATCCGAAAACACCAACAGCAACGATTTTGATTGGACCACGCAATTGTCGAAGATCGTGTCCAAGCAAGCTGACGGCATCTATCTGGAGAAGCTGAAAAAGAAACTGCTGAAAAAGTACTCCAAACACGTCTCGGTCGAGGAGCTGAGCGAAAAGCAGGCGAAGAAGTTCCACAAACGGTTCGACAAGCAACTGAAACTGTGTGCGACGCTGCGGCTAGATGGGGACCTGGTCAAGTCGTGCTAGCATCCATGGAAGTTATACATAGGTTAATTATAGCGATGGATCAAGAGTGGGGAAATAAATGTTGTAAGCTGAACGCAAATCTTCCCATGTTCATCTTTTTATTTCACTCCGGATCACTTTAGGATATTTACTTCAGGGACTGCTTGCATTGGCGCAGCTGGTTGCGGGTCTCCACGCACTGCGGCGTCTGATGGAAGCGCTTGGCCGGGCAGTTGAGGATCATCTCGTTGGCCACACACTCTATGACAAGACCGGCAAACGGATGGCATCCGAAACTAGCCATGCGCTTGGCCAGCAACTTAACGCTCTTGTGGGGCAGCAACGAGAGGGCTGAAAAGAAGATGGATCAGCAAATCTGACTAGATGAAACTATTGGCAACCCACCGTGTTTTTCGCACTGGCTGTATGTCTGATAGAGCAGTGCCTCATCCTCATCGTTGGCCAGTTCGCTCTCCAAATGTTCACGAACCGCTGCGAGATCCAGCGACTGGCGATTGCTGCCCACGAAATCGGTGCTATTGAAAGTGCATTCGGCGGTGCACTGGATAAAGAGCTGATCATGGGCTTTGGTCAGATGCGGCAGGCCGTACTCACAAACATGTACGTCTGCTCCTCCTGATCCGTCCTGTAGTGGATCTTCTCGTGCCACTCCATCTGGCAGTGGCTGAAATGGGGGCTTTCGTCGTGCAGATCGCAGCAAAAGTCGTGCTGCAATGATAAAATCAATGAGAAAGGCAACTTCGACCTTAGAACTTATATACCCTTGAAGATAGATGAAGACCTATAATAATTAGCTTCTGTAAAATGTTCTCCCCCTTTCTATTCTGTCTCGTCAGAATAGGATGTATGTCCTACCAACCCGTAGGTCTCCATTGGTCTCTAACAATATGTGTATACATATAGCCCCTTACCCTAGCTTTTGGTTTAAATTGTGTCCAGACATTCGAAACCGTTGGAACGTTTAGATTTCGCACAGAAGATGTAAGTTGGGCTCACCATTGTATCGATGGAATTCAGTTCGCAATCCTCGTCCAGTTCAGGGGCGGGGTTGGCCATCGCCCAGCCGCAGCAGAGGAGTAGCCAAAGTGCGTCCACGGCCACCCGTTGGAGTCTCATGTTCCGATTCGCTTTGGGTGGCGATGAGTGGGGCGGGGGCTTTTATAGTTCGGTTTTCAGTCCAGAGTTCTCAGAGTGGAAGTGTAATTTGGCGTAAAATTTGATGGTTTTTAATTTGTGGCTTAATTTACTTGTTTAATTATTCCAGCCAAAGTGCGGCATCATGTGATCATGAGTTTGCTGTCTGCAGACTGCATCACGGGTGCAGTGGCAGCGTCGTCGTTCCGCTCCAGTTCCTGGAACGCATTTCCCTTCCATGCCCATGCGGCAGCACTCGAAGATAAATGATGAAAAGGCGAAGGCATCCATCACCGATCAAGCGGGGCACAATGTTCAACGCTTCCAAATATAGCAAAAATATGGTAGACTGCCGAAACACGCACTTTCTTGTTGGACATGCCCACGGCAACGATGATGACGATGCCTCACAAATGCATGCGGAAGCATTGCATTGCCTCATGCCCGCCATCCCATCCCCCGTACATCCCACGTCCATTCCGTCTGTTTTCAGCTGCAACTAATTAACCGATAAATACATCATAAATAGTCAAACTGCCGCTCCCTGCACTCCACCTCCAGCTCCAGCTCCAGCTCCATATCCAGTTCCTCGGCAACACACGATCGTCATCAGTCAAGGCGCAGACGTTGCGTCGCTGCCGCTGCCTCAGAAGTCCCCATTTGTTTATTTTTGACTCGCACAACAGAACTCCGGAATGGAGGATGGGTTGGAATGGGGAATGGGTGTGGATTCTATGTCTGTGTGCCAGGCAGAGGCTCCATTTCGATATGGCGGCGCTTCACGGTGGCATGCGGTCGCATTAGGGAGTTCGGACGAGATGGGAAATTTAGGGGCAAGAGCAATCAAGCGGCACGTGCCGCCTGAAGTTCATTTCGTAGGAATTGGAACGCCGTAACTAACTGGGCGCATCCGTGTTTGGTCGGAAACCCAGCCCAGCCTAGAAAAACCTTTGGTCCTCTGTCTATGGGTAAAAAGTATTTCTCTATATTTTCTTTTGATTCTAAGTTTCATTCTGGGAGGGGATTTAGTAGATGTTCGTGAAATGGTATGACGATTAATTCTTATAATATTTGAATATTTCCCCGATGGGCTGCCAAAGTATTCCATAAATGAGTACTCGCAACATTCCGATTCCATGCTGAGAGTGGGGTGCCGTTCATGAGATTTCTGTGGATGGAAAACAGGGAATTTTTATAATACACCTACATATTTGTTGTAGGTTGTTTCTGCTGAAAGCTAAGAAAACCTTAAAAAATTAGTATTTAAAAAATCTCTAAAATCGCAAAAAATAAAAATGTGATTCCGTGCTTTTGTTTCTACGAGCATATATAGTACATAAAATAAAATCATTCATCGGCATGTCGCGCTCTCTGTATCTTCTGGAGTTTGTGGATTCTATTCGAAGGGCAAGAATTAAACCGAAGCATTCTGTCCCAAGGCAATTGGAGCAGCCTGCCTGGAGGCAACACTGCCTGCAGCACTCGCGCTATGTGGCATCCACACACAGGGAAACGGGAACGGAACGGACACACACTCGCACGCACACAGCGAGCGCTGTGCCGCATGTAACGGTTAGACGAGCACCGACCCGACCCGAAGAATCCACAGGGCAGCAGCGGCGAGAGTCAATCGAAATTCTGTTGTCAAAGCGTGCGGTTCGTTCGGTCTCGCCCGCGTGAAGAGCAATCGAAAGCCACAAGGCAAGAAGCAGAAGGAGGCGCAGGAGACAGTCGCCACTTGGAGCGACCAGTTCCAAAAAATCTGACAAACTATAGGCACTCATAGCCATAGACATAGGCATAGACGTGAATATAGAAAATAGTCTACGCAGATAGTGCGGTGCGGCCAGTGGCACTTTATTTATAAATCCTCTATATTTTTGGATCAAACTTGGGGCGAAAGCAAAAGTGTTAAGAATTCGGTCCCGTCTCGGTTTTGTGTGTGCTGCGTGTCCGTGTGAAAATGCCGTTGGCAAAATTGTGAAATCCTCTCGAGTAAAAATCCAGTATAGCACTTAATCCATAAACACATAAATCCCGAAACAATGATGTACTTAAGCAACAAACTGTGTTCCTGGCTGCTGCTGGTGGTGTGCTGCAGCTCCATCCTGGTCAGCGCTCAGTACGAACACTATCTGGACAGCCTGCGCTCCAATGAGCTGTACGAGTTCGTCGACGACGGCTCCTCGGGCAGCATCCAGTTCCTGCCCAAGGGCGACAGCGAACGCACCCTCCTGCAACTGGAGCAGCCCATCAGCTTCTATGGCGAGCAGTACGAGCAGCTCTATGTGAGTAGTGTGTTTCCGGTGCCCCATTTTAGATTCCAGAATTCAGGTTACAAAGTATCTCGAAGATTGTGCACTGCGCTGAATGAATTTTTTTTGCAGTTTCCGATAAGACATCCACGTCCATCCCCGATCCCCCATCCGCCTCGATCGCTGATAATCGATGAGCGGTCAATCATTATGCAAATATTCAACAGTTCAATAGTTTCTTGCTTATAGTCAGTAAGGCGGGCAGGCAGTCATTCTATTTCGGTTGATAGAGCATGCTTTGTTGTGTTGCGAGTATTTATAGACGACATTAATTTTCGGCAAAACATGACAGGAGGACGGACATCGATTTCCACACACCACACAGCACCCACGAGCGTCAAAATTTACATCTATGTCTTTCGATACGAGTCGAGGTATCGCACATGTACAATTTACACGCTCTTGAGGGTGGTCCATACCGAAAGCCTAGGCGAACCGGACCCCCATCCCATTGATGTCGCTGTGCCGCCTTGGCCATCTGCCAAAGTTCCTGAGCATTTCGGTTCTGAGTGGTATTCAGCATTTGGCATCGAGAATTATGAGTTCTCCGCGTCGAGAGTGCGAGAGTGTCGCCTATTTTTGAACCGTATTTGTCTTTTCTCTTTTGTTGTTGCTGTGCTTTGTATTTGTTAGTTAATTAACTGAATTTATGTGTCTGACGTGGAAAAATAGCACGCGGCACAGAATCGGAACGCCGCCTTTTATTATGGCCAAAGGAATACATAAATTTCATTGGAATTCCTGCCGGAGTAGTCGCGAAGAAGTGTCAGACAGCAGCTCCAAAGCGTTCGACTTTAATTATTGCCGGAGCCAATCCAAAATCATATAAATAGATTCGTCATATTCCCCATTCCAATCGTCAATTATCGTGTGAATAACCGGAGAGGTTAGATACTTTCGAAAGTTCAGACATAGGTATACACATATAGTAATCGTACATATTATATTCATGATAAGAATTTGTTTGCCAGCACATTGCAATTTTCGAATATCAAAAGAGACTAAGCTCCGCATATTTCTATTTTGTTAATTCTTTCGGTTGTCAGATTATTTTTTAGGGATTACTCATTTTTCTCCTGGTATGTTCTCGCTGTGAAACATTGGTAGCGGCTCTTAAGCTGTTCTGTTAGACGATTAAGGAATTTTGGACTGTCTTTCACTGGAAAACAAATGTGATCACAAGCAAAAGCCTGCCACAGACTCTTAACATTTACCAAATTGCGTAGAAACAACAAACATGGAGAGCTCCAATTGTGGCATCCCCTTGAAGATCTTGGAATCTGTACAGCTACAAATCACCTGCCAAGATGCCGAAATTCCTAGCGCCCCAGCAGATTCCTTGCTTTGGCAACCATTTGCCAGTCCAGGCACATTGCAACACATTGCCAACGGCCCGCAGAGATGAAGTGCACCCGTGGTGCCGGCTATCTGGAGGAGCAACAGTGCAATCTGATTTATGCATGGGGCCTGTCAGCGCTTTAGAGCCACATTTCGAACACCTGTGTTCCAAATCCATTCTGCTAGAAACAAAATTGTTGTTTATTTAGAACAATGCATCGCTGGATATGCTCGAGAGGATGGAGAATGAAGAGTGGCGGAGTGGTGTTGGGGATGGGGTTGGGTAATGGTAATGTTGATGCTGATGCTGATGAAGTTGCAACTGAAGTAGGCAAAACTAGATCGAACTAATTCCAGCCAGAGGAGTGCGGATGTGGATGCTTCTGGGGAGGGACTCAATTAGTTAGAGGGCGATCGTCTCAGATCACTTATCGCATCCCTTCAAATGATCATTTGCCGCCTTGTTAATGGTTTGTTGGTGTTTGCTTTCCGCCATGAGAACAATTCCCGTTCGGAGTTAAGTGGCCCGTTAGCACTTCACGGTGATGGGATGGGATGGGATGGGATGGGATGGAATGGGATGGCAGGGGAGGCGGCGGAGAGGGCTCTTTGAAGTGCCATATGGAAGCCAAGTACTGCCACTTGAACCGATTGTGATCCCTGATGCGCACTTCCTAATTTCCTTTGCCTCCGTTTCCTTTACACAGATCAATACCAATGGAATCCTGACGTTCAACGTGGAATTCCCCGAGTACTTGAACCAGCCTTTCCCACTCGAGTACCCCTCGATAGCCGCCTTCTACTCGAACGTGGACACATCAAACAGCGGGGATGAGACCTCCGTCTCCCTATTCCAGACCAAAGACCCTGCCACCCTGGACAGAGCCTCGCAGCTGGTGCGCTACGCCTTCAGCGAACAGGCCGCGTTCGAGGCGGAACAGGTGGTTGTGGCCACTTGGCAGAACGTAGGCTACTTCGACTCCAAGACGGACAAAGTGAACACCTTCCAGGTGGCCCTGATAGCCAATGAGCAGCAGACCTTCGTGCAGTTCATCTACCCGGAGGGCGGCCTCAACTGGCTCCAGGGCGAGTCGTTGGGCAATGGACTGCCCGATATCCGCGCTCAGGCTGGATTCGTAGCTGAGGACGGACGTTACTACAGCCTCAACGGATCCGGATCGGAGAATGTAAGTTCAAGAGAGTACCTGTTCGGGGGAGATCGCTCTCTAATTGTATTCTGTTAACTGTTTTAGGCCCGTTTCCTTAGCGAGAGCACCAACCTGGGAGTGTCCGGAGTCTGGCTGTTCGAGGTGGCTCCGGTGGCAGCACAGCAGAGCGTGCGGGCCCCCGACAACGCCGAGACGCGCACAGAGTCGCCTGCTTTGGCCCAGAGCTGCCACGCTCTTGGACATCAGTGCCACGACAAGGCTCAATGCCACGACAAGGCCGAGGGATACTGCTGCGCCTGTGAGCCGGGCTTCTACGGAAACGGAAAGGCTTGTCTGGCCAACGACCTGCCCATCCGGGTGACGGGCACGCTCTCAGGCGAGTTAAATGGCCGGCCAGTCGACGAGCAGGCCAAGCTGCAATCATACGTTGTCACCACCGATGCCAGGTCCTACACGACAATCAATCCGCTGAGCGTGGAGCAGGGAGCTCAGATCCGCCTGATCCTGCCGCTGCTCACGACCGTGCCCTGGCTTTTCGCCAAGTCGGTGAATGGAGCCTCCAATGGCTACCAGCTAACGGGCGGCGACTACGAGCACATCTCGCGCATCCAGTTCGAGTCGGGAGAAACGTTGCACGTAAACCAGACCTTCCAGGGCCTCAACTACTGGGACCAGCTGGCCGTAAAAATCGAAATCTACGGCGAGGTGCCGACCATCCCGTCGGGCGCCACTCTCCACCTGCCCGACTACATCGATGAGTACCGCTTCGTACGGCCCGGAGAGCTGCAATCGGTGCAGACGCACCAGCTTGAGCTGGTGGACGACCAGCGCGTCATCAGCCTCCAGGTGGACCAACGCATCCTGTACCAGAGCTGCCTGCGCGACGACGAGGCGGACCCCTCCGACACCAGCGTCATGCAGAAGGTATCCAAGATCGCCCTGGACTTTGTGGAGCGTGACCAGGCGCTGCGCATAAGCGCCATGAGCAAAATTGGGGTGGACGCGGAGTCCAATGCCTGCACGGACGGAACTGGCCAGTGCGTGGAGAACTCCGTGTGCGTGCCCTATGAGGATACCTACCGCTGCGACTGTCGCCACGGCTACGCGGCCCAGCTGGACGAGCGCGGCCTCGAGGTTTGTGTGGATGTGGACGAGTGCGCCCTGGGTACCCATGTGTGCGACGAGAACGCTCTGTGCGAGAACAACGAGGGCGGATTCACCTGCTTCTGCTCCGAGGGATATCAGGGTAACGGCTACAGGTGCCTGTCCAACAGCAGTGACAGCACCGCCGACAACATCGAGTACTCCACCCCAGCGAACCAGGTTGTCGACGAACCTAGCTCCGAAGCCGATTCCGAGTCTGATGCTAATGCCAATGCCAATCCCGATCCCAATCCCGATCCCAACCCCTATCCCTACCCCTATCCCAGTGAGGAGGAACAAGGGCCCACACATTCTGATGAGTGCTATGTGAGTGAGAGGAGCCCCACCGCTTACTGTCCAATGATTACCTCTCTCACCCTTCTTCCAGCGCTGCTCACCCGATGCCGACTGCTACGAGGGGCGTTGCGCCTGTCGCGAAGGCTTCTCCGGCGATGGGTACCAGTGCTCCAATCTGTGCGGCCATGACGAGGCCTGGGAGCACGGACGCTGCGTTCCCATCCTGCTGGAGCTGGAGGTGGACCCGTCGTGCGATTTTCTTGGCAACTGCCGCTGCCCGGAGGGCTACCTAATCTCCGAAGATGGTCAGATTTGTCGCTATACTCTGGATGCCGATTTGGAGAAGAATGGAGACTTGGGTGAGTGATATCCTTCACAGTTAGGATATGCTTATGGTTGGCTTTCAATCTTAAGGACATAAGAAGATGTTTTACTCCGGACTGTGACTGTATAATTATCCCTATGGCAACTAATGACTCCCTTTATAGTTCCTTGCGATGTGGACGCCAACTGCCATATCAATGCCACTTGTGTCTGGTACGAGCACGAGCTGCGCCACATCTGCACCTGCAACGCCGGCTTCAGCGGCGACGGCTACGCCTGTGAGCCCATCGACGACTCCTGCGCTATTGTAAGTTCTAGTCGATTCCCGATCAAGCAGTCTAGTATACTCCGCCTGCTTCCAGAAACCCGAAATCTGCGACGCCCATGCCACGTGCAACTACAACGACCAACAGGGCAAGTCCGAGTGCGTGTGCGAGCGCCGCTACGAGGGCGATGGATACCGCTGCCAGCTGGCGCCGGAGTGCGAGTCCGCGGAGCACTGCGGGGAGAACGCCTTCTGTGACTCGGGCGTTTGCCAGTGCCAGGAGGACTACGAGCGGGATGTGAGCGACAGGTGTGTGCCGGCCGGCCGTTGCGGGGCCGTCTTCTGTGGCTCCAACGCCATCTGCAAATGGGACTCGGTGCAGAGCGTCCAGTACTGCGACTGCCTCGAGGGCTATCAGGGGGACGCACTGGCGGGGTGCCTGAGCAAACCCACGCCCTGCAACGTGAGGAACACCTGCGGCATCCATGCCACCTGCGAGCCAACCGAGTAAGTTCGGACAGCAGCAGAGCTGGGGGTCATTCGTATATTTTATTTGTATTTTGCGATTCCAGGGATCCTGCGAATTATGAGTGCCAGTGCATCGCCGGCTACCACGGCGACGGCTACGTGTGCATCGAGGAGCAGAACTGCCTCAACAACCCCACGCTCTGCGACATGAACGCCAAGTGCCACTCGACCAACTCCGGCCTGGTCTGCGCGTGCAATCAAGGTGAGTGCTTCGATGCACATTCCGCCTCCACTCCCGAGACATCACTTCTTGGGCGGGGCCACTTCGTTAGCTGCGGCGACCTTCTCCTCGCTGGGGGAGCACGAGTTGAAGAAGCAGAACCCGAATATGGACAGGGCCAGCACCACGTTGAAGTAGCCGTTGTTGCGGTCCCAAGTATGGGGATGCATGAAGAACTCGCGCATCGACGCTAGAGAGGACGAGCCTGGCTTCTTCAGATCTCCGCTCAGGTTCTGTGCGAAGCGACGATCTGCCAAAGTATTGCTCGTAGTCGGTCGGTGCTTCACTCTGGAGCCGGCGGCCTGATTCTGAGTCGAGGATCGCCAGGCGACGCTGCCTCCCAAGCGCGACATCCTCGTGAGCAGAGTCTGCAGAAGACGCATCCTGGCAGATTAAGTAAAGGGTGTCGGAGGAGTCTTTTTTGAATTGAAAATTAAACTGTACAAATTTTGGATTTAGCCAAGAAAAATGTCGGAACTCTGAGTTACGAATGGAGAATGAATGGAGAGAATTGGTAGAGACTACTGGGATCATGACTTTCCAGAGCTACGTACTTAAACAACCCCAATTGCCTTGCCTAAATTCCAGGTTTCTATGGAAACGGCTCCACCTGCTTCGAGCGCCAGCAGCATGACTCGGACTTCCTCATCGTCAGCCAGGGAGTGGTCATTGTCCGAGTACCTCTCAACGGACGAAATGTCCTGCCCATATCGGTGGCCTCGATGGCAATCGGCCTGGACAAGGACTGCGTGGAGGGTCGCGTCTACTGGGGCGACATCTCGGCCAAGAAGATTGTGAGTGCCAAGTACGATGGCACCGACGCCCGTCCCTTCATTACCACGGGTAAGATGGCTTTAACTAGGTCCATGAGAGCTGCGCTTATTTTTTCCTGATCGCTCAGATATCGAGTCTCCTGAGGGCATTGCCATAGATGTCATTTCTCGTCGCCTATACTGGACTGACTCCGTAAAGGACACCATTGAGGTGGCCAGCCTGGACGATCCCACGCTGCGTGCGGTGGTTATCAACAAGCAGCTGGTGAATCCCCGCGGCATTGCCGTGGATCCCTACAGAGAGTAAGCAATGACGACAGACACCCGAAGATCAACATTTCTGACCTTCCTTTTGGTTCACAGGAAACTCTTCTGGTCGGACTGGGACCGCTCCTCGCCCAAGATTGAGTTCTCGGACTTGGACGGCACTGGGCGGGAGCTGCTGCTGGGCCACGATGCTGTCACCCTGCCGAACTCTCTGGTAGTGCTGGAGAACACGGGCGAGCTGTGCTACGCCGATGCGGGAAGCAAGAAAGTGGAGTGCATCCATCCCCAGAACCGCGAGACCCGCACCATCTCCAACGAGCTGTCCTATCCGTTTGGCCTCACCTTCACCCATGATCAGTTTTACTGGACCGACTGGACTACGTGAGAACCTCTTAACATTCAAATGGAAAAGAATTAACCAAGCTATTTTCCAGCAAAAAACTGGAGAGCGTGGATGCCCTGGGTACCCGCCAGAAGCCAATACAGACCCCGTTCTTTGGCAGCCACAAGATGTACGGCATGACGGTCGTGGAGCAGAACTGTCCGCAGTACCAGAGCCCCTGCCAGATCAACAACGGCGGCTGCACAGACGCCCGGCTCTGTCTGGTGAACCGCAAGGCTCCTTCGGGCAAGAGCTGCAAGTGCACCAGCGCCTCCACCGGCTGCAGTCTGCAGCCATCGCCCTATCCCGGCTACTAAGTCAATATTCAACTAAATTGACATTATTTTTCGATACGTATACAGAACCAAAAACACAAAGAAACAATGAGTTAAGAAACGCTAACTAAATTAAATGTACTAACTAGGAATGCCTGTGTGCCATTTTATGTAAAGCTACTCAAAACTTAATAAAATAAAAGTAAGCACCCGGCGTGGGTCTAGAGATTAAACACAACTAAGTAGTCTGATATCCAAGTTTCACTGCTAGATATACAGGATATACAGGAATACAACCTACTATGTTCGGTTTATTATACAGCTCAGAACATGAAATGACTTCGTTCGCAATACAATATTTCCAACTATATATTTTGAGTTTATTGTGAGTTCTGTTCGGCATGCCTTAAAGAGCATCGATAAATATTACAGCAAGTTTATATTCTAGTCCACACTAAAACTCTAATGATGCCAATGCCAGGTGCCAGATGCGGATTAGTTATCTATCTTTTGTACATTGAGACATCGGTTCGATCTAAGTGCTAGTTCTTACACAGATACATTCTCACCTAAGTACATACAGTGGGTATATGAATGCTGGTTTGTACAGATCTATGTAAATAAGTATCTGGTGTGACAGGCATATGCTTAACTAGGCTTTCTTTTGAGACACTGGAATGCATTTCATCTTCCTCACCCTCACCGTCATCGGCAATGTTGAGTAAAATTTCCTTAAAAAACTGCTTTTTGTGCTTTAACTAACATTTTCAAGTGTGTGAGGGGATGTGTGTTTTCTCTAGCTACTACCTATAGAGGCTATATAATTGGGACGTTTCTTCGAAATTCAATTGAGTTGGGGTTGCGTTTCCTAACACTATGCTACTGGGGTGTGTGTGTATAGCTCATGGTATTTGGTACAGTGGCCGACACTCTCGATGTGTCGGCGTTATAGGTATGGTATGGTATGTATGTAAGGTATTTAGGTGGATACTACTCTTAACTATAGAATAACTCTAAGCTCTAGATCCTAGCTTCTGTTGTTTTGCGTTTTCCGTATTCCGTATTCCGTATGGTATTCTTAAGTTTTAATAGTTGTTTTAGTTTTGCTCTTTTAATGCTTCCTTGAATGTTGGTTGGTTCTAATATACAGTGTATATATACAAATTCCTTGCTTCTATATGTATATATAAGTTTTTTGGTTGGTTTCGTAAAGCATTAGAGTATACCAAAGCCCGTTCCAAACTATGTTATGAAAACCGTTTCCTGTTTAGTTTGTTTTTCTTTCATTTGCCTTTGTTTTTACAATTGTGTAAAACAATTCAAAGAGTTTTACAAAACTTGGGATGTTTTTCGTGTGTATGTGTATAGTACATGACATTGATAGCACCTTCAGACAAGTATCTATATGTGGTATATTATATGTATGTGGGAGGAAGTTAAGCCGACCAAAATCCGAATAGGACTTGCATATATGTATGTGGGATATACCTAGGGTACACACAGATACAGGGGCTTGAGAATTTGATAGTTTGCTATGCTCCTCGGATATGCTAGAAACGAATCGGGTACTTAGAACTAGGCTCAGATATATATGTACAGTTAGCCAAATCATCATCCAATCTATCCAATAGTTTAACTACATATCTTGTTCCCAAAACACAATTTGCCTCAACTTTTGTTGCTTGTTGTTTGTTGTTTGTAAAGCATATACTCGTAATTATTCCTATACTATATGCATGTTCCTTATAGACGTTTCTACGCTATGGAAATCTATCGCACTATATCCGTAGCTAAACCCTTCCCTATGCAGGGCTCGTCTAAAAAGGGAGAGGGACTGGGACGCACACCACAGACGTTGGGGGTGGGTTGGTTGGTCTCTCCTAATACTTTTACTCTCAGAACTTATCTCTACGCGTGTGTCTGTGTGTGCCGGCCGTGTTCTATATCCATTTGTTCTTTGACATGGAGGAGCGGAGACGGCGCCCCCACATCAGGTTGTATCATACAATCGTTCCCTGCAGATGCTGCGGCGACGACACCTGCGAAGACTGGGGGCCAAGCGAGTCCTGGGGCTGCAGGGAGCTACCGGCCCCCGATGAGGTGCTGGGTCCTGGCCCCAGGTCAGCCGTGTTGATCGCCAGCGAAGAGCCAGCCCCCAGCATGCCACTAGTTGAGGATCCAGTCCCGGATGGGTTTATGCCGCCGCCGCCACCGCCACCCATCATGCAGGGCACGCCCAGCATGGGTGTGGGCTCCTCTGGCGGGGTGACCTGGAGAGAAATCTGATTCTAGCACAGGCGTTAGTCGTCAATAGGATTCATATGATCTGTGCGCGATTAGAACTTACCTCCATGCCTATGCTGCCATTGAGCGAGATCTTGATGGGGTTGCTGTGATTCGTGGCCTGCATCAGGGTCGTGAAATGGCTGATGCCGATCTCCTCCAGCGAGGACTTTCGCCGGCCATGACTGACGCCCACGCTGGGAAGGCCTTGCCTCAGAGAGGAGGATCGACGCAGCAGTATGTCGTTGTCGATCTGCAAGGACAGAGGAGCAAGGAAATATCCACGCAAGTGTTTGGCGATTAGTGAGGGGAGATAACCCAGCGCAGGTGCTTGTGATACCAACAAAACGCAATTACAATACACATACAAATTGGCTATTCTTGCAGTTGAAGTTGCAGTTGCAGTTGCAGTTACAGTCACTCAAAAAAAAAAGCAAACACAGCGACAAAAATCTAGAATTTCTGCTCGCTCCTGCCGACATACTGATCTACATTTGACTCTGGTTCTGATAGTATTCTGTGGTCTGTGATTCTGGGCCAAGCCCTGCGTTGATACTATGACTAGGGATTGTTGTTGCTGCTGTTGCAGTGGTGTGCTTCTGGATGTTGCCGGTGCTGCTTCTGCTTCTGCCTCTGCCTCTGCTATTGATGTGGCTGCCGTGCTGATCGGTAGAGTGCTCTGCGGCTTAACTTTGATACGAGAATTTTGATGCTCAGTGTGTGAGTGCAATTGCTGGCCCCGAATGGACCGAGCCTCTATGTATTTTGTTGTAGCCAATTTGTTAAAAAAACTTAACTAAGATAACGAGGTGTGTGATGGACTGCGAACTGGAGCTGAAGACCCATGGCCAGCCCAAATTTACATTCCCTAGGACAGCGTCTACACTGCGGCCGCAGGCAAAGCCCAAGGTCTAAGCTTGAATCATTGTTTTGACAGCAATATAAAATACATTATGTATCTATGTATCTAATGTGTGGGTTAAATTTGTAGATACAACTGTGCGTTTAACTGCTTTGAATGAACCCAAAGCCATAAATAGATAAACAAAATAAGCAAGAAACTCTCTTGAAGATGATTTACAGGCAGATATGCTTAGACCTTGGAGACCGTAGAGTTAGCTCTTGGTGTATCTTAACGGAAATCGAACAAACCAACGAGAGGAAGGTGAGTTAAATCAACAAACATAGAGAAAAAGAGAGGGGGGGAGAGCGAGGAAGAGGTGTGTGGGGGTGGGGCGGTGGTGTACGTGTGGGTATAGGTGTGGGTGTGGAAGAAGGAATAATAGCCAACCCGCAATGAGTTACTCCGTCCACGCTGATTGCCAACCACCGTCGGACTGTCGGGTAGAGAAAGAGAATTCGATTTAATTTGCTGCATCGGTGGGGTACAGCGCTGCGAGGATGATCCATACCCGGCCAAAGTCTGAACGCTCTGCATTTGCATTGGGTTCAAACCGGCGATGCCGGAGCCG